GAGCCTGGAGGGCCTGTCATGTATCCCCCCTGGTTACCCAGTTCCATTAACTTCCAGTTCTCCTAATTTCATGTCATTACACGGTAGCTGAAGTCTGTCAGAATGCATTAAAATACAGAGAATGCCTGAGTCAGGCCAACAATGCATTTTTCCCTGTGTCAAAAAACTGCCCTTGCTTTTAGTGTGCTAAAACAGAAAACCTTACTCCTATAGTACAGCAGCTAAAATCCATTGTAGTTTGTATGCATTGAAATTAGATATGCCGTGGATGAATTTGACCTGGAGCCCCTTAAGATACAATCTTTGATATGATCTCCTTGTTTTAGGGCTCCTCTTCCCAGCCATTTCTTCCAGGTGCAAACTTAGCTTTACAAGATAAAGAAGGATAACTACTGATTTCGATAGTATGTTCTGCCTGCAAATAGGATAAACCCCCCACCTCCCAGGCAACATGTTCCCCCAGAGCATGGTTTATTACAAGCTCCTCCAGCAGTAATGTATATTAAGATAAATATATTTGAAGGTACCTTAGACTATCTTTATATATATGCCAAATTCTTTCTGCTCCTACAGCGATAAGGTAAGAGAATAAGAGAATCAATTATTTCTACTACAAAATACCAGCAAACTGGCTCATTAGGATATAACACAAATATAGCTTAATTTAGTCTAGCCTGATTATCTGAATAACCTGTAGTTGTGATCTGAACACCCCAAATAATAAATCACAAATACAAAAACCCAAATCATAAATACACCGAATGGCTGTTATAGTGTCAGTGCTGGGCATGAATCCAACAGCTCCTGGGTTAGTCAGCCTAAGGAGAGCATTCATTTTATTCAGTCTTTCTTTCTAAAATACATTCTTGTCCTGAAGTATGGAAATATCAGTTTCTAATGATGTAATTAAATGTATCTGTAGTGAGATGCACTTATAATTACAGGCAATTACTAGAATATCCTTCCATGATAACGGAGATTTTCCTTAACACTTTATCCATGGAAAAATTGCATGCAGAATTAACAAACAGAAGCAATTTTAACCTTCAATAATTTATTCAAATGAGCTCCTCTGTGACCTAAGAAAGGAGCAGAAATAATTCGTTGTACCTGCATGTAGTAAAGAAAAAAGGGAAATATTTAATATAATGAGCAGTATCATCCCAGGCACACATAGTGTCATTGCTAAATGGTACCTCAGTTCTCCCCAAATATGTGTTGCTGGAGCTGCCTTCAGTGACTCACAGTGATTATAGCACTGGCCTGTCTCTAATGTGATTAAACACCGCTGGAGCAATGGACTCTAATATCAAAACAGCTTCCAAGGCAAAAGTTTTATGTCATGGTGGTGACTTCAGCCAGCCCCACAATTACAGCAGGATTGCTCTGAAGCTCCAGTTCCACTCTAAAACCAAGTCTGTTTTGATGGCTAAATTTGCCATTTATTTAAATAGAAAGTTATAAAAAATAAAATGTCTGTCTTGAATGTCTAGTACAAAAGAACCGGCAGAAATAATTGTTATCTTAATGACTTCCTTCCAAGGAATTTCTGCGAAACAATAAAATAACTGACAGGGAAAACTTGAAATTATTCTTCCCCTGGCTCTACATCTGACACTGTCACATATCTGCTAGTGTAATGAGTTAGCATCAATTCACACAAATAGAAACCAAACCTAATCCTTTCTTTCTTCTCAAATATAAACTCTCTCCATCACGTTGCGGCTTTGTCCCCCTAAGCTGTACAGACTGGAAACTCACAAGAATAAAAACATGACGTCCCCTTCTAAATGCTGCAATGCTCCATTTCGTAAGTGCAATTAAAGCAAATATTTTTCAAAAGATCTGAAATTTCATCCTTTCACTCTGATTTATTCTGCTTCCAGGTGCAGGCAAACAGATAGAAATTTAAAATGGGATCCTCTCAGCTCAGAAAGAGCCTAGTTTGGCAGCTGAAGACTCCTCATCCCTTCCCACAGTTGAATGGATAAGGAACAAAATCCTGTGCTGTGAGGATTAAATTAAATTATTAGCCAGCCCGTGTGTGTGTGCACGCAAACATGCACGATGCTGGTGAGGGCAGGATGAAACTAAAGGGGAGGATACTAAAGGCTTATCCTTGTGCATCTGCTAAGCAAATCCTTCATGCGGTGCGTTATCCCAGCTAGCTTGTCCTGAACAATCCGCTGCACGAAAGCGCTTTCAGAGCCCCTGCAAACACAGCTGCATTGCTAAATGGCTGCCGGCAAAGGCACTGCACAGGCAGCGGTGTGGTACAGACTGCGAAACAAAGGGCACGTGGAGAGCAAGACGGATGAGATTCTGCTTCTGCAGCAACCCCCTCTGAAACAGCAGCAACCACTTGCTACTTAATACCTCTTAATAAAACACTGGCTTTCACTTCTTCCAAACGCTATTTGCTACTCTTTTGCTAGGCTGCTGCTTTCCCCAAAGCAAATATACCTGACATGATCTCTCTCGTCTTCTCCAGGAACCCAGGTGCTCTAGAGCTCTGTTGAGCCCAACTATTTATATTTGGTTGAAAGAAAATCAGACCCTAAATGGTAGATAGTCCTATAAAACGTAATAAACAAATAATTTGTTGTAATAGATTTAATAACTAATCCAGAAAAATATGCCAGAGTTGTTTCCACTGCAGACATATGTCTGGGGCTTTTCAGTTACTTAACAGTGGGAAATATTTTGCCTCTCGTGATATCAGGCTGAATGGCCCTTGCATCACTCCCTGCAGAAATCCTTTGGCTAATCCACAGATTTAGAACTTGTGAAGCAATCCTTAACAGAAGCACTGATTTTAGATGTAGGAAGAAATTTTTAAATCTACTTCCCCAAAAGGTAAAATGTAAGAGCATATGGGTTTTTTGCTGCTGTTATTGCCTAATTTCTGCCAGACTCATGTGCAGAAATTCCTCTGCAGTTCGGCAGAGCTTGCTGGGCGACGCTCCCTACTCCTGCGGGCTGCAGAGCTGCCTCTCCTGGTGTCTGGGATCACGTTGCCCTCCAGTGGCTGAACGGAAAAACGGGAATAAAAGGCCACTGCAGCACTTCTCTCTGCTTTAGGAATGCTTCCAGAGTGATCTACACGCCATGAAACTGCAATGGAAATACTAAGAATTTATGTAATGCTATTTTTAAAATATGAATATAAAACTAATCCTTCCCTCCCTTCCTGTTCATTTTAGGTATGCAATCTGGAACAATCTTCATCCTCAGGACTTTATGCTGATCTTTCTCTGGTTTGCCAGGCTTATACAGTGGGCCATGGGAGAATGTTTAATGAGAAACAAATAGAGCATTTTGATTTGTCCTTATATTTGAGAGTGTGGTCAAACTCCATTTTTACAGATTGTGCAAAGAAATCTCTCAATAATACATGCTACTGTAATATATGCATTCTTCTCAAAAATACTTTTGGGTTTTTTTTCCCAATAATATGTGACACAAATGCTGATAAACTAATATGTGGAAACAAAGGCACAATATTTTAAAAGATACAGAAGTCTAAAAAGGCTCAGTGCCCCTCTGAGCTAGCCCTTGCAGATGATTTTTTTAAACATTTAACATAATGAGGCATTTTCTCTTTTGAAAGTGAAGCTCCATTCACAAATGCCCGTGAGCATTCAACATTTATGCAGATCTGACATATGTCAAACTGAGCACAAAGAAAATGTGATTCACACAACCAGTGCTTACCAGTAAGAGACTTGGTTCAAGTGTTACATAAATCAGATTACAGGCAATCTGCTGAACAAAACCAGAGTTTAATTCTTAAAGTGCCATTTAGTTACCATAATCATAAGAATTTCCTCTTTCACTCTCTGTCTCCCAATTTTTGTAACAAATGAAGCAAGAGACTCACGACTCCTTGAGTGCACAGCCCTAACTTTATCCCAATATGTATTGAAATAGGCTATGACATTGTCAGACAAAAAGTACCTGGTCCTGTAGTCGAATCTGTATCACAGTGTAGAGAAATACTTGGTTAAGATTGGAAAAGAAACTTTAATGTCAGAAATTCCTGTTATTTTGGAGCTGGGCTCTTTCAACTTTAATGTTCTCTTTACTTCTTACAGAAAAACAAATAAATAAAGAAAATGAAATTACATTAAATAGTCTCCTCCTAACAGTTACATGAGATTCAGCTGGGATGAAACCTTTGGATCCACAGCATATGCTTCTGCCTTTTGAGCTAATTAAATAATTGACAGCTGTGGAAGACTGTCCATTTACAAAGGTCGTCTGCAATCAGGCAGCAACACAATTAATATCAGCAGCAAAAAGTGATTAGAGATAAAACAGGAAATATCAGAGCTTTGTAGTGGAGATGTTTTCAAATCAGCTGAGCCATGTGAATTCCATCCAAGGCAAATATAAAACTGGCCAAAGCAAGCTTTAATGATTTACCTTGAAAATCATGTGTGAGATTACAAATATAGTGTCTCCTTTGAAAAGGGATGAGAGAGGGCAAGGATGTTAGGGAGTCAGAGAATCTCTGTGTTCTAGAGAGTGGAATGTAGTGTAGCAAATAATTAAGCTTTTAGTAGATACTCAGAACACAATAAGTAAAAGGAAAACTGGGGGGTGGTGTTTAAGGATAAATGTTGTTAAATCATCTACCCACCTTCTTTATTTTTGCTTTTTTCCTTTATTAAATTGCATTCTCCAGAGCAGGCTGGGAAGTGTTGTGCATTTTAGCGTGTGACAAAATAGGTGTAAAAGTGGGTAGGGTGATATATCTTAAGATGTGTCTAGTGGTCATTCCTAGCACTGGCTACCTTGTGCTGTGCAGTGTCCTTTCATGACCTAATAACAAAGCTGAAGACAAAATAGTTCTTATGAAATCTGGAAATGTCATCAGAACAAGGGGGATTGCAAGGACCATGGCTGAGAAGATTAAAGCTAAAAAAAATTTATTGCTGCAATTTCAGAAAAGGATTGAAAGAGGAAAGAAACCAGGATTCAACAGATATACATGCTATTCAGTTCATTGGAAATAAAAACCAGCAGGTGGAAGAACTACAGGATGGGCAGCAATTCTGCAGGACAGTACATGCAGGCTTCAGAAGAGTGTGATTTTCAAGTGTGATTCCATGGCAGTGTGGAAAAGGTAAGAAACCACATGGGGGAAAATGGGCTGTAACCACTGTTGGCCTGTGATTTCATGCTTTCCCTCTCAGTGGCACTTGATAAGGCCTCTGCTGGTGTACAACAGCCAGTGGAAGGGGGGTTTTATCTGCCTGAGAAACATGTAATCACTGCATAATCTGGGGATGGGAAAGAGGAAGCTGTAAATTCAGCAGCTGGGGTGGGGAGCAGTGACAAGGAAAAGCAACAGTGACACCCCTGTGGGAGAGGAACTGCAAACATGGAACCTCTGTTTTTCAGCTTCACGCTGAAGGATTTGAAGAGCTATTTATCTTCTGCAGTGCTATGGGTTTAGGAGTTCTGAGTGTGTTTATCAGCTGTGATCCACCCATTTGCCACTATTCAGGAGCCCCTGAACTGGAATGTGCCTGGCAAGACACAACCCCAGTCAATATATTCTCCTTACCTCTCCTTCCTATGTGTTTATTTTGTGTTTTCAGGCAAGGTTGGATGGTGTGGTGTAATCTTTCCTATTTTGCTAATTTTCCTACTGCAATAATGTGTTTCCTAAGAGGCTCATTTCTTTGCATTGCATGAACTAAACTGAAAATGGACAAAACAGGTAGACCAACAGATGAAAACTGCTAAATCCCTCAAAGGATTTTTTAGAAGTTATTTTCCAGTTTATTAAAGGCACAGTTTTTTAATGTGCCAAAGGTTGTTGAGTCACAAGCTCTGTGGACTTAGAGCTGAACCTCAAAGCCAAAGACCAGTTTTGCTTTAGAGAGTGAATCTCTGCAATCTTTTCCCTGAGGGTGTATTCTGTATAAGCAACTAAGCAAACACTGTAAGTTAGGCTTATATCCCTTGGGAAGGGCCATCAGAAATCACTAAACAGCCATAATAAATACTAGTGTTATTCTGCACCACAGTTTTGGCATGTTCTTTCAAGCAGGTGTTTGGAAAGTCCTCTTGAGAGAAGATAACTACACACCTCACAAAGCCCAATGTAGGAGGATGCTAACACATGTGCTTCCAAGCTCTGCTTTGTTTTGGGTGCCAATTTCCCATCTACTTTGTCTTCCAGCCTGTTGCCACGCTTGTACTGATGGAAATACAAAGCTGATTGGTGTCACAGCGTGTTTGCCCTGCTTTTGTTTGTATGTAGAAAATTCAGTTCATAATTCCTCAGTTTACAGTTAGTGCTCACTTTTATGTATCATCCCAGGCAAAGAATAGGAAATGATTGCAAAGTTAATTCTATTTTTCTGTAGAAAACTCTGCTTCATGTATCCATTTCAATAAAGCTGTTGGGCTAGATCCCAGATGGCAATGGTATTCATCTTTCCACCAGGCATTTATCCAAAGTTTTACCCTGTGGGTAAAGAGGGAGAAAGGCCAAGTAATCTTGCTACTTTTACATGTAAACCATTTACATTTGCTCAGAGATGCCATAAGCAGCTGCATCTCAGCTATAACTCTCTGGGTAATACATTCCTTCTCGTAAAAAACCAGGGAAGACATTTTCCTTGCTGCCTTGTAAAGGCATTGAGTGGAGTTAAGCACAAAGCAGACCATTCATTGCTGCTTCCCAAGAGTGTGCTTACTTAATCCAGGCTTAGTTTGGGGGGAGAATTAACCAAAGAAGGAATGAGCAGAGCAATGAGCGAGACCATCACTGACACTGAGGTGGCACACATTTTGGTGTGAATGAGATTACAGCTGATCACCCCACATCCTGAGTCCTCTGAGATGTCATATATTTATTATTTATACCCAGAGACAGGCATTCTATACAAAAGTCACAGACTTTTTTTACAAGCAAAGATCCTCAAATCTTTATCCAGGCTAGCAAAGCCCCAGTGCCCCAGATGGAGTTGATTAGTCAGGTTTGATTATTACCAATAAGGGAGCTCTGTTCAGACTTGAAAAGGAGAAAGGAAATGTGGATTAAGGTTTGTTTCAGGAATGATTAGCCAGTTTTCCTATGAATGGTGGAAACAGCTCTGAAGAAATCTGGCATCCTGAAGGTGTGAAGTGGAAATGTTTGGGTTTATTGTTTATTTTGCCAGAGAACTAAAAGCCCCTATTTATGTCAGACTGAGAGCTAAAGGACAGGAATATCACAGATGGAGTTTCATGGTTATAGGTGTCTTTAGTTTTACTTAGACTTTGTAAGGAAATAGGATACTGGTACCTGGGCTAGGCATACAAACTTCCTGCAATCAGAGGTTCCCAGTTCTGGCCCAAATTGGGTTTCCCTGAGTAATGTTTGCCATTACAGCTCTAGCAGCAAGAGCTTGGACCAAAGTCTGGGATTGAGCTTTCATGTCAAATCTAGGATTCTGAGAGAAGGGGTTTATGTCAATATTCTGTTCCAGCAGTCAGGGCTGGGGTTTTACTTTCCAACCCCAGCAAAAAAATAAAATGTTCATTGATCATGATGTCTTGCAAAATGCTTTTCTGCTGGTGTGTGAAAAGCTATTACTGATGAAATTGATGAGTTCTTGTTTCTCTGTTCTTCCCATATGTGTGTACACATCTCCTGTCTTGTGCCTAGAATTCAAGCTATGCTAGAAATCAGCTGGAGTGGGATTTGCCTGGTCATGAGCCCAAGGGAGGGCTTTTGGACTAAGATAACATCAGGAATAATAATAATGATAGTAAGTAGCCTGATTTCTTTGGCTGATTAATCTGAAATCTCCTTAGAGACATTCAGGAAGACAATGCAAGATTTTCTCTGGCAGTAGCTGGCTGGGTTTTTTTGTCTACCGGTTTCCCCTAAAATGTTTGTCACATTGCCAAGCTGCTCTGTTCCTTTGATATGCAAAGTGCTTTGAAGAGAGAATCCCTCAATTCCCAAAGCATGGTAATGTAGTAAGGAGGGAAAGGGGATTTTTTTTTTTCTTCAGACATCACTCAGAATAAAAAGGAAACACTTGTGTTTGTAGGGTCATCTTCTGGTACAAGATTTTTGAAGTGTTCAAATGAAATTTACACTTTTGTAGCTATACTAGTACCCCCACTTTGAGCTCTGTTTTAAGAATAATTATAGATAATATGTAGGTTTTGAGATATACCTAGAAGTGAAAGACACTAGTAATGATACCCTCAAAGGATACAGGGAAGGTAATGAAGAACAACAGGTACAAAATACATGTGATTAAATACTTGCCATTGTCATATATCTCTAATGATTTAATAGCCAATGGGCACCAAGATATACCTGATATAGCATCTATTTTACTAGGATTTAAAATCAGTGGGTTTGATCAAACAGCCTGGATGTAGTGTGGTTCTGAAATTCTTTCTTTTGTTAATGGTGGGAGAAAGCTAGTGTTGTGCCAGTGTTTAATGAAACAATCCTGACCCACTGGTGATTCACGGGCAGAATGCAACTTCTGGGATGCTTCAGACAGCTGAAATCATGTCCTAGTGGTGAAGGGGAATGGCTGCTCCCCATCAGGCTGTGTCCTGTGGGACTCTGGGGTGCCACGAAGAGGAGGCTGGAGAGCCCTGGGGACAGCTCCTCTGAGTTTGGCTGGGATAGAGTTCATTTTCTTCACAGCAGCTGGTATGGGGATGTGTTTTGGGTTTGTGCTGAGCAGGGGGTTGATGATAATTGTTAATGTTATTGATATATTAATATTATAATATATATAATATAAACTATACATTATATAATATTATATATCCTATATTTATAATATATATTATAATATTAATATTATTTGTAACTATTATTGATAATAGTTTTTGTTATTGCTGAGCAGAGCTTACAGAGCCAAGGCCACGTTGGCAAGAGAGTTGGGGGTGACACAGTTGGGACAGGTGACCCCAGCTGACCAAAGGGGTATTCCAGACCATATAACATCATAGTATATAAAGGGGAGAGGAGGAGGAGGAAGAGGGGCTATTTGGAGTGATGGAATGTGCATATTGGAGTCTTCCCATCACCATTACATGTGATGGAGCCCGGCTCTCCTGGAGATGGCGGAACACCTGCCTGCCCTGGGGAAGCACTGAATTAATGCCTTGCTTTGCTTGCGTGCAGGACTCTTGCTTTCCTTACTATGCTGTCGTTAGCTCAACCCACGAGTTTTCCAGCTTTAACCCTCCCGATTTCTCGCCATGCTGCTGGTGAGGGGTGAGTGAGCGCCTTTGGGGCTGGGTTGGCAGAGGGGTCACATCACCGTGGGTGAGGGACGGGGGAACGGGAGGTGCTCCAGGACAGAAGAACTTCTGCCACCGCCTCTCCTCAGGGACCCCAGCCCGCCCACCGCGGGCTTGTCCTCGGCTACGCTCCGCTCGACCTACGGCCAAAATGACAGGCACGCCCGCGAGATGTGGCGCTTGGAGGGAGGGCTGCGGGGAGCCCCGAGGAGAAAGATGCTGGAGGCAGCCGCCATCTCCCCTCCCTCCTCCACAGCCTGCCCGGGCTGACTCAGTTTCCCCCTCAGCCCGTCCCGAGCCGCTAGGCGGCGCTGCCCCCGGCGCGGCCGCCGCGTTCCCGGCGGGCGGAGCGCGGCGCGGCGGGCGGAGCGCGGCGCGTCCCGCCCGGCAGCAGCGCCATGGCGCCCGGCGGCAAGGTGAGGGCGGGGGTCCGCGCTCCCGCAGGCACCGTCCCTGCCACCCATCCCTGCCACCCATCCCTGCCACCCATCCCTGCCACCCATCCCTGCCACCCATCCCTGCCACCCGGCGGCTCCTCCCGTGCTGGCCGCCGAGCCGCTGCCCGTGCAAAGCTGGCTAGCTCAGAGGGAATCTGTTCCTGCTTCAGAGCACGGTGCAGCTCCCGCAGCAGTGACTGCCATTGCTGGAGTAACGCCAGAACTGGTTTTGCTCTGTTGAAAACGCAGTTTGTGTGTGTGGCGCGTTTAAGGGAACTTATTGGTGAATGCCGTGTTGAGGTCTCTCGTGTTACGGGGCAGTTTGTTATCTGTTAAACACAGCTTTATCGGTGCTGCTGTAGCCATCTCTCTCTTTGCTTTATTATAGCTTCTTCAGCACCGAGAGGCCAGAGATAAAGGCGGTTTGTTCCATCTCGCCCTTAGCAGTACCTGGTCCTACGGTCACACGTGCCGAGCTGGGGGCAGGTGTCGCTTAGGACCCCGCAGCTGAGAGCAGCACCGGGGGCTCGGGTGGGATGGGCAGAGGTTAACAACAGCGGGAGAGACACAGAGCAGGGTTACCGCCAGAGCTCTCCTCTTCCTGCAGGAAGATTCCACATACCTGAACGGGCACCCAGCTTGGGTTTGCTGCCTTCCAGAAGAGCATGTTGGCACTTGACACTTGGTCGTGTGTTTTGTAAGCAAAACGGCAGCTCTGCAGTCCTGCATTTCTTTGGCTCCTCTGCTGTTATCCTGCCATCTTTGAAGGGAGTTTTACCCCTTTTGGACAACAGGATGGATTTGGCTGCCAGCCATTGTGTGTTTTTAGGGAGCACAGCACCAAGCTGAGGAGGGTCAGCAGCTTCTGCTGTGGTAGATACATACAGTGATTCCTCAGGCTGGAGGTGGGCACTGCCAAGTCTCTTGTGAGAACGCAGTGCAGCCTCTGTAACTGCCTCTGCTCCACTCTGAGCTGCTGCAGACCTGGCTGACTCTGGCACTTTTCCCCAGCTCCCGGGCAAGCCACTGGTGAAGGCAGGGTGAGGAGTAGAGTGCTCAGACCTGCTGGGCAGCTTGTGGAGCTCTGTAGATCAGCAGGTACTTGGAGTTGCTTGCAAGGCCATATGCAGAGCTTAGACCAACACCTTTTCTCACTGTTCAACCATTTTGCTTTGAAGAAGCAGACTCTACATCTTGTGCCACTTGGCAGATTTACGATTATTGTCCACATTTTGTCAGCTTAATTTCTTCTGGAATTGGATATATTTTGTATTTTAAAACAAGTCACCTGCCTCCAGCCTAGGTAATATCTGACTTTCCTGTGTTCTGGCAAACATTGTTTTTCAGGCAGTGTACTTTAGTCTATTGGCAGCCCAAAACGTAAGGTCTTGATGTATATTTAGGGTACTTTGGTTTAATCCATGAGAATAAATTTGAGCTGGCTTTGGACATGCAGAGCTTCATTTTGCTGAATTCCTCTTTCAACTACATTTATCTAGATGATTAATCAAGATACGGGGAGTCTGAAAGAACTTGAGAGGAACTTAGAGTCAAGTGAGAAATGGCAAGAAACTATTTTATTTAATTCTAGTATATAAATCAATTCATGGGCAGACTTGAGCAGTGTTTTGTATAGATCAGTTAAAGAGGTGATTAGAAATACAAAAACATAGACTAATGTGAGGGATTTAAGCTCCTAAATTGAAAATTGAATTAATCATTCCAATTGTCAACTAAAATATCTGATTAATTTCCTGATGCAGAAAAGCCCTTAGATCCCGACTATGTTCATGGGACTGTATAGAAATTACATGACCTTTACAGGTCATTGTGTAACATAGGATTTTTTTGTATTTTCCACTGAAACGTCTGGAACATGGTACAGGATGAAATTATTTTCTTTTCAGTGCAGTTATACCAGTTCTGTCTTCCACCATTGTCTCTTATTAACAGTTAGTGTAAAAGTAACCTCTTGTAAAGTTGTTTGATTTTTAAGTTTTGCATGAACCTTTTTAACCTTTTCAGTAATTATGCTTGTATTTTATTTTTTACTCTCACTCATGCTTTTCAGGTGGCAATAGTGCTGTGCCTGGATGTAGGCCTTACAATGAGTTCTTCCCCTGGTGAAGAGTCTTCTCTTGACCAAGCCAAGAAGATTATGACAAAGTTTCTGCAGAGACAGGTGTGTGTGACTTCATAAGTGTTAATAACATCTGTGAAACATTTTTCTCGTTTACTAATAATTGAAATAAATGAGGAATGAGTGAGAATTAGTCTCTATATATGCAGGAGTGACAGTGCTCTTTGTTTCAGCAGTGTTTTTTGTGCATGAGATGTGATAGGTTGGTTACCCTTTTTCTTCAGGGCAGTAGAAACTTTTAGGGAAAAGAATTGCTTTTCTCTTTCTCTAAAATATTTCAACACTTATTAGTTACCACACTGAAGATTCACTTTGAGGACTGGATCACCCAACTTTATTTGTTTTATCCCAGATAAAACAAATAGCCTCTTGCAAATTTATTAGTTTAGCCTCTTGTAAATTTATTAGTTTAATTATATCTAACTTTGTGATCTCAGTCTAAGTTTACATTTTGAGAGGATAGCACCAAATAAGTAAAAACCAGTAAATACATTGTAATTGATGTTTCAAAATTAGTTAGATTTGCCTAACATAGTTGTGTATGAATCTACCTGGTTTTTATATCTATTTTGTGTTCTCTGTATCTGCAGGTTTTTGCTGAGAGTAAAGATGAAGTCGCTGTAGTTTTGTTTGGCACTAATGGCACTAGAAATGACCTTGCCAGTGAAGATCAATACCAAAACATTACTGTACATAGATCACTAATGCTGCCAGATTTTGATCTGCTGGAAGACATTCAAAATGTGATTAAAGCAGGTTCTGCACAAGCAGACTGTATCCTTTTGCTGCAGAGCACTTCTTGAACTGATTCAGCTACATAGGAGACAGGAAGTCAGTGTTGCAAAATTGGGCTCAGCCTCCCAAGTTTTAACTACTATCAGAGTTGAGCTAATTTGTGGTTGTAAGTTTGTCCAAAAGCAGACTTAGCTGCTTTTTGACGTTCTTTTAGGCTAACAGATGTAGCCTTGGCCTTAAAAAGAATCATTGCTTTTATGAAGTGTTCTGTTAATTAAAGAGAACAAAGATAGTAATATAATTTTAGGCTTCAGATAAGGCATGTATTTTTAAAATAGCATTACAGAACTTGGCTTATGCTTTTTAATAAAAATTTTGTTTATTAAATAAGTCAGCGGAAGTTCTAGAAACCAGACTGTCGTGGTTTCAGCCCAGCTGGAAACTCAGCCCCATACAACTACTTGCTCATTCTGCCACCAGTTGGATGGGGAGAGAACTGAAAGGGTAAAGGGGAGAGAACTGAAAGACTAAAAGGGAGAAAACTCATGGGTTATGATAAAGGCAAGTTAATAGGGAAGTTAAAAGCTGTGCACACAAGCAGAACAAAATCAGGAATTATTCACTGCTTCCCCAGGGCAGGTATTCAGTCATCTCTAGGAGAGCAGGGCTCCATCAGACTTAACAGTTACCTAGGAAGACCAACACCAGAACTCTGAATAGCCCCCCTTCCTCCTTCCTGCCAGCTTTATGTGTTGAGTGTGATGCCAGGTGGTATGGGGTATCCCATTGGTCAGTTGGGACCAGCTGTCCCTGCTGTGTCTCCTCCCAACTTCTTGTGCCCCTGTAGCCACCTCGCTGACAAGGTGGTGCAAGGACCAGAAAAGACCTTGGCTCTGTGCAAGCACTCCTCACCAACAACTACAACATCCCTATATTATCATCACTGTTTCCAGCACAATTTCAAGACACAGCCCCATGCCAGCCCCTGTGAAGAAAACTATCTCTACCTCAGAGAAAGGAGAATAGAGGTTTATCAGACTGATTTATTCATAAAGTATTTCTAACTTTGCCAAGTATTACTCCCTGGTTTGAATGCTGTTCATGTTTGACTGTCTTATGCTCTTAGTTATATGTAACTAAGGTGAAGAGTTTTAAAGGGTGATCTGATCTGTATGATGTTCCTTCATTTGTTTCATTTACATTCAGTTCAATTTCCTGTGTTGTCTCTCTCTGTCCATAAAACGATTGCTGTGAGCTCTATCCAGGCAGTCAGAGCTGTTTCAGATAAGTGTGCAGACACTCAGATGGCTGACACATTCCCAGTGGACATTGTGATGAGGCAGAAACTAAGAGATTGTCAGATGCAGGTGGTTCAAAAAAACTTGCATGAGGCAATGATATATATATTGAAATTTTGTTGGTGGATTCAGAGTAATGTTCTAAAGGTTAGATTGCCTCTTCATGGACTTCAGCCTCATTGACAGTTGAGAATCTGAAGGAGTCTTTTTAGTGTTCCATTGGGTAGATGGGGTAGAGACAAGATCACAATACACAAGTTATATAGGGACCCCTTGCACATCAGTTATTTGAAAAGTATTTATCTCAAAAGAGTATTTCTTAACTAAAATGCGTGTGTCAGTCTTTGAGAGGGAGTGAAAATGTAAAATTGTTTTATATTAAAGCCACTTATCATTTCTTGATTCATATTCTGAGATTTTTCTTAATTTTGCCTAGTTTTGGATGCTATTATTGTATGCATGGACTTGCTTCAGAAGCAAACAATGTGAGTATGTAACTCGAGGTCTTACACAGAAGTCTGACTTTGTACTGTTTTCTTGTCAGTCTTATATTTACTATATGTATAAACATGGGAAGTGCTTTCTTAAAAAAAAAAAGAAAACCCAAAACATTAAAGATAAACAGCACACTACAGAAATTAGTCTCCAAAGAATCCTTGTGATACATCTGATTTGTCCAGACAATTGGAGAGCTTTCTGAGGCAACTGGCAACCTCTAGTAGAGCCATGAGAGTATTAATACCATTAAAGAAGGCACAAAGCCTTCCCTTTGTGTCCTGCTTTTAAAAATGGATGTTAAAATGCTTAGAAAAGGGTTATTGAATTTAAATGTGATGGCACATTTTAGAAAACTAAAAAGAAAACAAAACTAGAAAAGTGAATTTGTTCAGCCTAGAAATTTAAAGAATGTTGGAGATGAAGTGGCTGCTTGTAAATATGCAGGCTGTGGGAAGTAAAGGTGCAGTAGGAAAAGACACTCTTTAAGCTGAGAAAAAATGTTGACGTCAGTGTTACAAAGTTATCAGTGCATGTACTTAGGCTGGCAAGGTGTTTCTAACACTCTGAAATAGTGGTGCAAGGAAAGGAAGGTAACTGCACTTCCTCTCAAACCAGAGCTTGATCATGTTTCTGAAAACATTATATGATCTAATTGTGAGTGCAGAAGACTGCACTTGGTGATGCAATTTATAATTTTATTAATAAGGTCTAATCAGTGTGGAAAGCTGTATCCATTTAATGGTTAAAACTGAGTTGTGAAGGAAAATTACTGTATTTATGGCATTATAGACTTGATAGCTATGAAACACTGGGTTTTCTTGTAGCCTGTATACACCAACCCCTTTGATATGGAGATTGTATTAATCTGAGAAAATACTATAGGATAAAAATTCAAGAAAATCACTCTTGTTTGATTATCCAGATCAAAACTGTACCAATTCAACTGCATTTTATTCTGTCATTGGCCAGCCTTCCTGATCTGTACTGTTACTACTTCTTAGAATATTAAGTAGTATTGAAAGCCCATCTTCTCTAATGACTCTCCTGAATTAGATTGCTAAAATGGAACCCCACCAGCAGCAGTAATTTAAAATACATTTTCACAAGAACAGACTTACAGCTGCAAAGGAAATAACCAGTGTAATTCATAAACAGCCTAACATATTTTATTAGCATTTTATCCACATTGATGAAAATTGGCAGAATTCCATTCATTTAGATGTAGTTACTGTCTACAGTCACAGGGCTAGAATCCTCAGTTTTAGGGTAGGAGAGAGAAAGGGGAAGCATATAAAGATAAACACAGAGAAAGGGGAAGCATATAAAGATCAACACTTAGGATGAATAGTATAACCTATGATAGAACAACTTCTACCAAATAGGTTTATTTGTTTTCTTTCATTTTACAAGTATATTTCTTTGGTAAAAGTAATTAAAAATATATTAATTTTGTTATTATTTTGTAAGGAAATAATTTAAAAATAGCCTTATGTTTTCAATATATGTAAATGTTTTTCTCTATTTCAAGAGGAAAGAAATATGAGAAGAGGCACATTGAACTGTTTACAGACCTTAGTAGTCCTGTCAGTGAGGATCAGCTGGGAATTATCATTGCTAACTTGAAGAAAACAGAAATTTCACTTCAGTTTTTGTAAGTATTAAAATGGCTGTAATGTACTATGCCATCTTTTAAAGGGAAATTATTCTTTCTTAATAATTATATTGAAATAGCTGGTGATCTGCTGGATATGGTCTCTTCAGGGGTGTACCAGTAAGGAATATGATTATTGTAAGTACTTCTCTCAGTTGTATGTACTTTGAATTCCACTTATGAGCCAAATCCCCTTGGTCAAATAATGTGCAAATAAATGTTAAGATGATGGCTTTTTCTCCACTTAAGCTTATAGCTTAGAGCCAAAGTGTAAAATGGGAGACAAAAGAAAAATATAAGCAGAGCATTAGGAAACAATAAACCAAAAATAAACCAAGAAACAGTGTTTTTGTCACAGCAACAAAAGGTAAGGGCATTACTGGGAAGAAATAATGAGGTAGTGTTGCAGATGTTAATAGCTTGATTCTGGTGTCAGTAGAGGAGCAGGTCTGGAGAGAAGGGTTATATTCACATTGATGAGCTTGGAAAATGGAAGCAATGTCTTATGTGTTAGAACAGGAATCCCTTGATTGTCATGCTGTAGATACAGGCATTGATCCAGATAATCAATAGTGGTGTTAATGTCTGTATTAGCTGTTGCATGTGATGGCAACTGGAAGCTGTGAGCCTTCTAGAGGAGTTTATTTAAAAGCAAAACTTTATGTGGCTGTTTATAATAAATACTTTCACAGGAGAAAGTTAAAGCCCTAGATTTACTTCTGACCATGTACTTTAGCCTAGATTTAGCATTCTGTAAGGAACAATGTTATGAACTTAATAACGGATTCATTTATACCATTTGCCAACCCATCTGGAAGATTAGAGGGGTTAGATAGGAAAATGTGACTGAAAGTCATGGTCTGATCCACAAAACATCTTTGCCTTTGCTTAGGGGAGGCTGGATGCAAAGATACCAGGTTCCGTCTACACCAGAAAAGCAGTTAGGCTTCCAGTGTGACACACTCCTCCTGGCTTATTTGAGCTGTTGTTGGCACTGGAGGGAGTAGAGGTGCAACATCATGAATCTGAGTACCTGTGCAGTCAGAGTACATCTTTTGGAGTCCTGGTGTTCAGCTACTGCTCCCTTGTCTATGAAGCAGAAAAGAAATGTTGCTGTTACAGCAATGACTTCAGGTTTGCAACCTGTCTCCCAGCCACAGGAACAAAGGATTATTTGATTGTTACTTGTACAAATATAAAATGCTTATTAAAAAAAAAAAATCTTGCTAAACATTTTGTTATAACCTATGCTTCCATCTCTTATGCCCTGATCATAGACTAACTAGGCTGTAATTTGGAGCAGAGAGTTAGTTTTTCTCCCTGTTTCCAGGTGCCAAGCACATGCTGAGCACTGTGTAGTGTTGGGTATTACGTACTTCTCATCACAGTAGTCTCTGGGTATTGTATAGTGAATGTAGCCTAACTTTTACCTTTCAGAGGTTTGAAGCTTTTTGATGTTGCCCTATCAGCTTAAAAATACAGTTTCTATATTTTGTCAGTGGAATCTGATTCCTAAAAAGGTACCAAACACTTTGCCGGAGCTTGATCTTTAATTTTGCTGTATGTGACACTGTTGTGCATAATGTTAACTCTGCTTATTATTGGTTGCTTCGTGGATAAGTTTAGTGAGGACTAATGAGGTGAACGTATGGTAGAGATGTGTAGGTTGCTTTTTAAAAACATAATACAATGCTAAAGTTATTTCACTTTGTAGAAATGTGGTAAAAGGTATCATGTGGTTCATTCAGAATTGGATCAGATGAAAGACCTGAAAAATCTGCAGGTGTTTTCAGAGGCACAGAGTTGAAGATCTTAAAATCTTTCTCTCCTGTGTTTGTTGTACTTAGTTAATACTCTTCTGTATTTGAAGAGCTGCACAATCATTTTATCTATAACCCCTGGCTAAATTTTAAAATCTGATTCATGAAGTGCAGGAAAAATGTGCCATCTTCAGTCAGAAATTCATCCAGTGTTGTAAGCTATTAAAATCGGAAAGAATAACATTTGTTCCAGAAATACCTAATAGCTCCACTGCAGAGAATATCCTGCTTGCTGGCATTTGGAGCTGATACAGAGACACAGGCCTGGAATGGCCTTTAACAAGTCATCTGGAGCAATCCTCTGCTTCAGACTGGGTCAGGTGTATGTCTGTCATTGCTGAGCAGTGTTTGTCTAACCTTCTGATAAAGATTAGCAGTGATGGAGACTCTTCTCTCTCCTCAGGCAGTTGGTTTTAGAGATTATGCTTTGAAATGCCTTTATCAGGTTTTTGACTATCTGACCTGACTGCATGATGTGATTGGAGTGCAGGCAGAATACAAAGAACTGATTGTTTCCTTCCTCTCTGCAACAGCTTTTTGTATTTAAGGCTGTCTTGCCTTCTAATTCCCTTCTTTATTGGCTTTATTTTGTTCAATCTTTTTTAATGGATCTTACTTTCTAATCAACATTGATTTTACTGTCTAATCTATTACTGTATGTAGATGTCTTTATTGATGCACAATACCCAGAACTGGTGCATTGCTCTGGTCAAGATGTTACCAGTGTAGGCTTGAAATACTCCTTAATTTGTTTTGCAAGTCCTGTGGGTCTTTACACATCTGTCTGCAGCTAGATAGAAGTCATTGATCCTAAGAACATTTTTGTTTTGATTTGCTTGGTTATTTTAATAAGGAAGAATGTCAAACTAATTGGTTCTTCTTTTGTTCTTAGTCTACCATTTCCAGTGAGTGTTGAAGGAACTGAAGATACAAGTGCCAGTGTACATGCTCATATGCACAAAAACTCTTTTCCAATAAAGGGTTTAACTGAACAACAAAAGCAAGGTATTGATGTGGTGAGGAAACTCATGTATACTTTGGATGAAGAAGGAGGTCTGGAAGAAATTTATACTTTCAGGTAAATTTGGCTAATACTGGTTATTGTACTATAGATATACTTCCTGATTTCTTCTTCAAAAGATGAAGTTAAGTAATCAGTTGAAGTTAGTGAATTTTATCACTTACTGTACCCTCAGTCCCCTTCATACAGCTTCTTCAGTGGCTTTAGTATAAGTAGAAGAGCGTAGGGATTTCAGGGGAAAATTAATTTTCTGTATCTATATTTAAATGTAAAAATCAGTTTCCTTCCATCTTTAGTGTTGGAGGATTTTGGAGGGGAACATTTCTGTAAATGTCATTTCAAAGACATGTTTTAGAAAGAGATGGAATTTGTGGCATAGTTCACCTCGAACATCTGCATTTAGTGGTGTTCTTTGTTCCTTGGTTGCAGACTACTTTTATCTCACTAGTTTGATAAACTCCCACAAATTCTTTGAGTAAATGTTGTTTGTTGAATCCTGCTCTTTAATCACAGTATGCTGTGCCACTGTGACAAACAATATACTTTTTTATTTTTCATTTTTCTTGCATTAGGAATGCAGGAATTGAAAGATGATTTTTCACTTCTTGTTTTCCCAATGAAAGAATAAAAGTTTGTGTATCTCTGAAAAACTGTAGCTAATGATATATCCAAGACTTTTCTACATAGGTGTTGTCTCAGTTGGGAAACGCACCTATCATAGTCTGATGTTACTGTCTCAGTAGTTCTGCTCTACAATTATGAAAAGTGGTCTTTTAGGCAATGTGATTTTCAGGAAGTTTAGCAGACCACAGCTGTAATGTTGTTATCAAAGGTAATTTTTAGATGAATGTTGTCCCTGTAGGTTTGTATGCTGTAATTCATCAGTTTATTTGTGGGATTTCCTTCCCTCCCCCATCTCAGCTGGTCAGCTTTGCATCTCAGCAGACAGAGAAGCTTCTCCTTGAGCTTTGCTGTGCATTAGTGAAGAGACACGTGTCACTGTGTCTGTGTTCTGTACATGTCAACAGAGCAGTCTGAGTCTCTAGAAAAAACAAGCTTTGTCACTGCTTCAAAGACTGCACAGAAAAGCAGAATCTTTCCTGACCCATTTATCCTTTGCAATAATCCATATGCATGAACCTACCATGTGGCTTGGCCTCTTTATACTTTATCACAGACTCTTGCTACTTTACAAGGCTGTCTTTGTGCCATACTTTCAGGGGAAATCCAAAATCTCTGGATAAATAGGCATTTGGCTAGTAGATTAAAGCTTTAGTTGGAAAAGTTGTTTAAGAGTATGTGAGGTTTTAGATGCAATTAAGTTGCTTATCAAGCTTTAAGAAGTCAGCTTTGCAAATCTGTCATGATAATTGGCCAACGCAGATACGCTCTCCATTTTCCGAGATTAATTATTCCTGCTGGTAAAAATATTTCAACTCTTGTAAAAATAAATTAGCCATGCCAGGAAAATGAGTGAGGAGTTTTTGTTGTGATTTTTTGTTATGATACTCAGCCTATTAGACAGGATGTACTTCTGCTGCCTCTGGGTTTTGAGGGAAGGGATTGCAGAGCAGAAGAGAAAGGTTGTGTTCATTAAATACAAGCTGAAATGTATGTTTGCAAGGTTTTATTGACTGGGTCATCTTTAATTACAGGCAGCATTTTTCTTCTGCAAATATAAGAAATTAAAGGATAGAATTAATGAATTGAATTATATTACATTTTTAGGCATTTGGCACTTGTGTATTTGATTTTTGTACTCATGCCTGACTGTATGTATTGCAGTACTCCTAATGATATAGTACCATGTTCTTTTTTAAAATCCTGTGTTGATGTCTTCATTGCTAGGAAAAAAAAAAATCTTCCTTTCCATAAGAAAAAAAAACCCCAAAACTAGAAAGGAAATTCAGTGTTTATCTCGTATAAAAAACCCAGTGTGTTTTGCCATTCATTGTGCTTTTAGAATTTAAAAAAAACAACTGTTCATACTAGGAAACCTGAAAAGTAGAATGCCTAGTTGAATTCTCTACTGGTCATTTTAGGAGTTTATTTGATTTCTGCCAGACAAGAGCTTTAATCAAGACAGTGGTGGATTCCAGGTTTTATCATAATGTGAAAAAGAGTAGTTCAGCTTTCTTTTATCTTTGCTTTATCATGCAATAAAAGAAAAAAAATTGAGAGCTTTCTCTTTGTTAGAATTTTACAGCCAAATCGGCAATACAGTTTGTATTAGCTGAAAGCTGTTCTTTGGGGCAAGCCTATTTGAATTCACAGTGATATATTATAAATTACTGTGTGTTGTTAATTTTGGACTCCATTGCTAAAAGTTGTGCAATTAAGTTAACACTTTTTAGTATAAATTCATTACAGTTCATTTTTTTTGTGTTTTTTCAACTTCTATATCTGCTGTTTAGGCTAGAAATAGTTGAAATAACTTACTTCATTATGACAGAATGCCCTTAAATTAATGAGTTCACTAGTACTGTATAAAAAAGTGCCAGAAGTTAATTTCTACATAAACAAAATCCTCTTAATTGAAACTGGATTCTTTATTTCTTCAGCTTCACTATAGAAAGCATTTTACCACTTAGAGAGCTTTTTCTAATTTTTGTTGTTCAGCTTGCTACATGGCCTAATTGGATGAGCACAGAAAAATGTAAAATGCTTAAGAAGCAATTGTGTGGTTTTATCACTAGATTTAACACAGTGCCTTTAAGCCCTAGTGTCACACCATCATAAAAGCTCAAGATGGGGATAATCTACTGTACCACCTCTTTTTTTTGTTCTCTTTTCTGACAATGGGTAATGGTAAGATTATTGATACAGTTTATTTGCTTTATGCAATCAAAGCTGAAACAGTTTGGACTCCTGCATTTCCTTAAGGAGAGTGTATTGTCTATAATACTTTATTATAGTTCACCAGAGTTCATTGCTGTTTTCCTGATTCCTTCATTTAGAGAGAGCCTGGAACGCCTTTCAATGTTTAAGAAAATGGAAAGAAAGCCTATGCCTTGGCCCTGCCAGCTCACTATTGGTCCTAATTTGTCTATAAGGATTGTGGCCTACAAATCAGTAAGTGTGTAAGATCATATGTTCCAGTGTAATTTGGCAGCAAGTTAGGTGCAACTACATGTTTTTTGTTTGTTTGGTTTTTTTTTCCTTAAAGCTAAGAAAACAAGGATGAAACAACATCCGGATAATTATATTAGAGATTTTTGTTTGATTGGAAGCCAATACATCTAAAATTGTGGTTCCCACAGCAACTTTAACTTCACCATACACATTAAATAACTAAAATTCATAAGGTACAGAAATGGGAGTGATTACTGTCTGCTCTAGCACTTAGTAGTATTGAAGCTGATGACCCTGATTAAGAATGCTGTGATTGAAGATTTACATTCAGCATCAGTGGTATGTGAGACTTTATATATATATTTCTTAAGCCCTAGGCATGAGAAGAATTTTGGACATGTGTGCATAAAATGATGGGTGTAAATGTTTTACCAGCCATTGTTTCAAATCACATCTGTTGTTATTTCAGACTTGGAATAAAAAGTCTGTTTTTTCAGCTTGTTTGTACTGTTTGGCAGAGCTTGGACCCAGTCTGTTTCTTACGGTTTATATGGTTCCTTTAATCAGTGCTAGGAAAAAATAAGTGTATTTAAAGGCAGCAAATGTGCAAATTTCTTGTTACTGAATATTTAATAGGTGACTGTGTAGTGTGGCAGTATTGATGGATCTGGTGAGATGGAGTTTGTTTTGTTATTTCAACACGAGACTTAGCCTGATATTATGAAGATGAAATATATCTGAAGTCTGAGAGCTAGGTATACTAGCCTTGAAAGACATGAACTTTCTATTTATTTATAGTTATTAATTTTTTTTATTAGGCTATTGTGCCAGACCAGTGCAAATAGACAGAAAGAGTCCCGTCCCAAAGATGTTTACACAAAAAATAGTTAAGTTTGGGAGAATAAGCAACATGAACTGAGTGACTAGCCTGAGGTCATACAGCAGTCATACTGCCATAATGTATTCTGTATTTACTGATTTCTGCTCATTTCTACATTTTTATTCTCATATACTAGCTATGCCATCAATTTCACTTAAGCAGAGAAAAAAGAAAGCAGTTTTATTTCCCTGTAGTTGGGAAACTTTCACTTATTGTAAATACTTATTCCTTCTTTCCTTCCCAAGTCCATAATGCAACTGGGATCTTTTTGCCTTTTGGGGAAGCTGCAGTAATATAAGGTATTTTTATCCTGTAGTGTAGTAAGCCTGATGGAAAACTTGGCCAAGCAAACTGAGTGAACATTGAGTCTTACTGTATCTTTAACATATTTCTTAATGCTTTGTCAAAAGTATTGATACAGTTGGAGGTACTAAATTGCATAGCAAGCAATTTACATGGTATCCTATGACTCAAAGACTTCCACAAATGGCTTAACCTACAGGTTTAATGAAAAACCAGGACAAGTTTGCTGTCAGTATGCTACAGTTTATGTGTTAGGTCTCATACCGATGAAGCAGTGCTGAAAGCACTTTGGTGACAGCCAGAGATGCATTATTTGACAGACTTTATTAGTTCTTTATTGGCAAAACAATGCAGCACTCAGGCTGAGGATTTTTTGTGTGTTCTGTTATGTACTCTGGATCCCATTGAAATGTTAAACATTCATTTTCTTTGAATTCTGATATCAAGGTCACAGAAGAGAATGTGAAAAAAGTTTGGGCAATTGTGGATGCTAAAACCCTCAGAAAAGAGGACGTGCAAAAAGAAACTGTTTACTGCTTGAATGATGATGATGAGACAGAGGTTCAGAAAGATGATACCATTCAAGGTATGACATCTTTATGTGCACCTTGAAGACAAAGGGAAGATAATGGCTTGGACTGTTGGGTCACCTCAGGGCCTCTTAGTTTTATAACTTGAAGCCTAACTGTGGTCTTAGAATGCGAGCCCTGTAGGCTGGTGGAACACAGAGATTGTTGCACATGTTTTCACATGTTTTAAAAAAAATCTTATCTTGCCAGTAGTAGGAATAATAATAATAGGAATAATAGTAATAGGACTAACAACAACAACAATAATAGTAATAACAACAGATGGAACTTAGAAGGCACTAAGTTCCTTTCAGAAGCTTTCTGAACTACACACTGTAGAAGGCCATACCTCAGTTCTGTAGTGAGTAGTTCTGCTACCACTATTCTGTTTTTAGATCTTCAGTTATACCGATAACATGAATGCTTTCATAGTGCTGCTTTTTTTGTAGATGAGCAAGTGCTCTAGTTATTCTGCACTTGGAAAGATGAAGCCATCAAAGGAGGGTTTAGTGTTCAGGAGTACTAGCTTTGCTGTACTATAACAGGATCAATCTGAAGAAGTGGTACGCAACATACTTTTTATGACCTGCAGCTTCTTTCTGAGCAGATTAATTTCCTTAGAAGACTACAGGCCCAGAAACAGCAGGAAATAGTGTACTTACTTTTAAAAATTGAGTTAAGCAAATCTGTTTAATTTTTTGTGATTGTATAGATACATTTTGTTACTAGTTTTTTTCCATTCCTTTGCTATTTCAATCCCACACAAGTAGGGCAAGTATATTAACTATAAAGAGCAGGACTATTCAGATAACAGCATAGAGAGTGCTGTCAGATGAATAACATAAATTGAAAATTAGAATAAGCTGTATTTTTTAATATAATCTATTTGAACTGTAGCATTCATAGGCGTTTCAGAGCAGTATCAGATAAAGTCCCAATGACAATGTGACCTTCTTTAAGCAGAAATGATGGTTCAAAGATGGTCTAGTTATGTTCTACAACTTCAAAACTGTGTAAAGAAATTCCAGTTCTTACAGAGAATGCATTTTGAGGGATTTATGACTGTTCTCAGCTAATCTTCTGACTGCTTAAGTTAGTAAGTAGTTGTGGGATACTAGTAAAAAGAAGTGGTGAGCAGAGATAAAGAGATATCCCTGTCAGTGGTGTGGTATTTCTAATGCTAAAAGAGCTACTGATGCCTCCTGGACTTTTGTGAAGCTTTTGAGAAATGTCACAATTAGACAACATTTTGTATTTGCAGCACCTGTACTTAAATTTTTTTTCATTCTGTGTGTTTGCTTTTCAGTTTGTAGGAAAGTGTATCTTTACAGGTTTTTCATCCAGGGATTTATCTCTGTTCCTTCTGCTTTCTTCACACCTGAGGATATCATCCTTAATCTGTGGCAACATAATAATGTGATGACATTACAGGGAGGATAGTGGAAGCTGAGATAGGAGAATAAGCATTTGGAGCAGATGATACCTCTGAGAAATTACAGCCTCCTATTATATGGACAAATACCTGTAATATATAGCATGGGAAGTAAAATACAGAAATATATAAAAAGACCAGTTCTGCATACAAGAGTGTTTTGGTTTTCCATTGTGTACCTTGCTTCTACTGTTATCACATTCTATTCTCTGAATCTCTTCTGGTGTCACCTAGTGTGGTATGATTTATTGTATGTTTGAGGTTGCTTGTGTTATGTTTGCAGAGAATGTTGCAATCTGTTTGCTGAAATCTATTCTGATTTGCTTAAGTCTATTCTGTGAGTGTAACTTTGTAAGGCAAGATGTTCCCTTATTTTCTTTCCTGCTCTCTGAGAGTACTTGCATTACATAAAATTATGTACAAGGAGTGCAACTGCTGTTCGTGAAGTACAAAAATGTGTCTACGGGTGTTTGGTTTTTTTTTGATAACAGGGAAAGTAATTTGATGAGCATGTGTGGAACGTAGCTGTGGGGCATGAATGCATTGTTAAAATATTCAGAGAGCTAATTTCAGTGTTAAAATTGTAGGCCCATATGCTTACCAGATGCTCTTCTCTCGTTCTCCAGGTTTTCGGTATGGGAGTGATATAGTTCCTTTTTCCAAGGAAGATGAAGAGCAAATGAAATACAAAACAGAAGCTAAGTGTTTTTCTGTTTTGGGATTTACTAGATCCTCTCAGGTGTGATACTAAATGTCTTCCTATTCAGCTTCCTGGGTTGTTCAAGGCAATTGATCTTGGTTTGAATTCAGTAAAGTCATAGTGTTGTTTTGAGTTTCAATATTGGGAATGGGGCATCTCCACTCAGGTATGCAGAGGTGACTTATTTGCTGATTCTAGTACATGTAAGCAATATGTGGTCTTGTGAAGGAGAGAAGCTCATAAATGTGGCCATTGGTCAAGTGAAGCCAGAGCCACTGAGTTCAGATCTCTGCAAAGAGGAGACAGAGGTATTTTTGTCTAATTTCATCTTACAGATTTTAATAGTCTGTCTTCTGTTCAGCTCAGGCAACAGTCTTTCTAGGCTTTGTCCAGCCAAGAGTGTGGCTACTTCTTAACAAAAGTTTTTCCCTCAAGTAATGTTAAAGCAAGCCTGAAGCTGTCTCCATTCATTCTCAATTCCTTAAGGATTAGTTTGTGAACCATGTCTGGTCTCTTCTTTCTATTGTGACAAAACTTAAATGTAGTGAAGACTTCTTCACATAAGAACTTAGACAAAGGTAGCATCATTCAAAAGCTCTCCATATTTCTGTGAGATGCTTGGTGTTTGTAACGCACTTATCTCTACCAGTGGTATTGACTTTCCTATTTGTTGTCCCTGACAGTTGTAAGAAACTTACTTTGAGCAAGTACTTTAATAAAAGTTAACCCAGCACAAGGTGATTTCCTTCAGAAAATCCAGGACTTAAGCATTAGCAAAGCCTTAGGCAAAGGCTTAACAAAATTTCTTGAAGAAGGACACATGAGGAGAGAGTACAGAGATATGAGTGGCAAGTAATTGCTGTGAATGTTAAGCTGCTCCCCATCTTTTTTTTCCTCTGAAAATGTTTCTGACTGAAACTTTGCTCATCTTGGCGTTACCCCACACCCAGTCCTCTTCAGCAGTCAAAACTAAAATTAAATCATAGGGCAGTTCTACACCTTCACTTCTGACAGCTCCCAGCCCTCCTGCTCTTTGAAATCTCTTACTGCCTGAACAAATGAGAACTCTTGATAAAGGCTAAGGCATCATTACCTTTACAGTGAAGGAAATATGCTAATGAAATAGGAGGCATTTGGGAGCTTACTCTCAAATGAATGTAACTAAACACCTTCTTACTTTACAATACAGGTGTCACAGAAACCTTGTGCACGTTGCTATATGTGTCATTAGCCTACTGCAGTGCAGTGTTCCAAAACATAAGAACTGAGGAGCAAGGAAGTTATGTGATTTACTGAAAGGAGAGGCCAGTCCAATTGGAAACTGTAACCTGGTTGTTCCTTGAGGACTTTCAGACTTAGTTGTTGAGTAACATGAGGGCATGTGCACTGCAAGTGATTGATCAAGGAAACATCTCGTGCTTGAGCTTATGTGCTCTAAATTGGCCAGGGCCAGAAAGGTGTTAGGGAGTGCTACCTCCTGTACCAGAAACTGGATCTAATAAGTGAAATGTGTCTGAATCCTGTGTTCCAATGCAACAATTTCTTGGATCTCTCCATACATTATTAGCCTCCAGCTGAGTCTTACTATTGTCATTTAGTTCTGCAAGGTGTATTTCACTGTGTGCAGAGTTTTCTTATGCTGGAGGTTGGCCTCTTGTTTCAACTTAGTCTGACTTTATTTGAGAATGAAAACTAAGAGGAAAGCAGATGAACAAACTGTTATTTCACATGGATTTTTATTTTCCCGTCATTGTTCAGAGAGTGTGGTAATACTTTCAAATACATAGTTAATGATTGTAGGGTTAATTTTAGGAATATTTTTTGAGTAATGTAAATACGCATAAAAGAATTAACAAGTTGTTTTAAAAAAATTTCAATGTACCAAATACTGATTGCTTTTAATTAGTTTTTATTATGTACTTCTCTTGTCTCTGGATTTCATAACAAGCAGAAATTATATCTTAAAGTGTGCTCTGGTCCTGTAGCCAGGAGTGTGAGTAGTTATGCCCAGTAGTAGCTGCACCTCCACTCAGTGGAAAAAAATTATTCAAGTGTGGTTGCAGGATTAAAATTACAGTGGATAGATAACGATATCAGGAAGTTTTTAACTACAGCTGGAATTTTTAAGACCCGTATGTTATCTTAACTTTTGCCTACTAAATTTTATTGTTTGGAATGATAAAACTGACACTATTCAAATGTATGTTTTTATTAAATATTTTTTTTTTAAAAAACTTCCATGGAAAGATGATTCATTATTGACTAGAAAAACTGGAACAGCTCCAAATGCATAATTAAATAAGGACTAGAACCACCTTATATTCTTTTCCCAAGTTGTTCACATCCCTCAGGAAAAAAGATCAGAGGCCGCTTAAACTTTGATTTTTAATTTATAAGCCATGCAATGTAAATCAAGAAATAATACTTGAAAATATTACAAAGGGACAATTTCTTTTGCAAACAAGAAAAGGTGTAGTGATACACACATCTAGTTATGTATACTATGCTAAATGTAAAATTTCCTGAGCATTTAGAGACAGAACAGGAAAGAAGGACTGCAGGTAGAATAATCTGAGCTGATGAATCGTGCTGTAATACAGTAAACGGATCTGCTCTGGTGCAGGTTGTCACTGCCTTCAACAGCCTTATGGTAATTTGCTAAATAGAGAAGATAAAAAGATTAAATGAATGAAAGAAAAATCAGAGATATAATGAAGTTCTGAGACTGTAATTCAAAGAGTTTTTTCTTTAACAAAGAGAGCTTATTTTAATCAGTGTCCATAGTATTATGTGATCTTTGTGACAGGTCTTCTATGATTGCAGGCTTTCTGTGTGTGTGAGCTGCTGTAACTCCAACTAGTCCAGCGATGCCCCTTGATGAAACTATTTTTCCTTTTTGTTTTAGATTCAGCCATGTCCATGAATAGAATAAACTCTGCTAGCACAAGTGCTTCTTTGCTAGCATAGCTGTATGACACGCCTATCTTTTTTTGCAGCCCCCCAAATCACCAGGCTAGCCCAGATATAGGGGGGCCTTGAGGGAAGGCGCGTCAGGAGTTGGGCAAAGATTCCAAAGAGGTTTCAGTTCCCCGATGTGGTTGTCCAAGTTGTTTATTCCATGAGATGAAGGGGAAAAGAGAGAGAACCAGGAAGGGACAGGACCTTATCTAGTCTCAGGACAGGGAGGGCTCTCTTGCCCTCTGCCAACCCCGTTGGGGCAGGAAAGAGGGGACCATATTTATCAGATCCCAGTCATAGGGGTCCCTGGAAGGGGAAAAAGCATAGCCCGAGAGCATTGTAACAGCTGTATATAGTCTGGGTTGCTGTTGAAGTAGTTCTATTAATTAAGGATGTGACTTTTTCCAGCTCCTTTTTGATGTATCTTTGCTAGAAAAATGTAATAACACAGATATGGTAACCCTTAGGTTTAGGTCTTGTATTAACTATTATAGTTTTCCACAATGACTTTTGAATTACAGAAGTATAATTCAGACTGGTAACAGCTGCCAGTAGCATTGTCTTTCATTCCTGCCCATCAGTAGGATGCTGTGAGAATATCCTGCCCAATATGACTGAATATTCATTAAGTGATAAATGGAGATATAAGACAAATACAGGGCTTTAATCTCTATGGACTGTAACTAAATTTGGTGGCTTCTGCCTTGAGTGACACTAGTTGTTTTGTAACCTAATTGGTCCAGTTGCATTAGTGACCTTTTCTTTAGGTCAGGCTAACTCTTGATCATTTGAATCTGTAGATCCAGAGGCATTACTACATGGGCAACCAAGCTCTGAAGGTCTTTGCAGCAAAAGGTGATGAGGTAAGGCAAACTGAAGTTTAATGTTGAATGTATTTTGCTGCAGAAGAAAAAGAATAGTAGTGATGCTTGAGATTGTCCTGTCTTTCTGTGTTAATAAATACTTCTAATACAGCTTACAGAAATGTCTTATTTCATTGCCCAGTAGGTTAAAAAGAAGTTGGATTGAACCCCAAATGAACACAGTATCTCATGAATAATGAAAACTGATAGATATTATGTTTGAGCAAGGTTATGAGGAATCTGAAATTGGTGCTTAAGTCAATTCTCATGCAGAGCAACAGTGTGCCCTGTCACTGTGTTATTTAGAACAGACCTTCAAAGTGCTGGAGGTAAAAAGCTCACTATGGTGCTCTAATATGTTCCTTTAAGGGACTTCTCTCCTTTTGTCTATCTCATGCAAAACCTCTGAGAGTTCTTCACACCTGGTGGAAAAGGTGGAATGTGCTGAATCTAAAGTTGGCTCAGCTTTGAATGTATCCACTATCATGATGAGATTTGACCTTTCTGCTTCTTTGATTTATGAACATGAAAAAATGCTTGTGTTAAAGTTATAACTGATATGGAAACTAGTCTTGACTAAATCAATACTGTTGAATTCCCTCTGAAATATGTATTTCATGATTAAGAACTTGCATGATTTTTTACACTTCTTTTTTCCCTCCAGAATGCAGCAGTTGCTTTTTCTGCACTTGTTCGTGCATTGGATGAGTCGAAAATGGTGGCTGTAGTGCGCTATGCTTATGATAGAAGATGCAACCCACAAATTGGAGTAGCTTTTCCGTATATTAAGGATGCATATGAGGTAATTCTTCTCTCTTACCCTTCTACAGAGAGACCCAGAAGCAACACAGTATGTCAGAACTTTTGCAGCATATGTTTCCCCTGATCTTTCTTATGAGAGACTATTGAAAGAGCTAAATATGTATAGCATGGCTGAGCAGTGATGGATGTGGGGGCGGACACAACAATCTTCAGACTTTTGAAGGGTATAAACATAAAAGATGGAAAGGAATTATTTAGGGTGGTATGAACTGGAGGAGGTAATTGAATAAAGAAAAAATGAGGCAGAGAAATGTTAAAAAAACAGAATCCAGCTTTTGACTTTGGAATACAGTAAACTGTGATAAAACCTCCCAAAGCGCCAATATATTGGATAATTAAAGCATGAGTAATTGGAACTCTGCACAAGAAAAAGGGATCAAATGGGTTGGGAGGTCTTTATTCCACAAGCAGAAAAAATGAGTGTAGCCATCAAGATGTTATAAAATATAATGCTTTGTTGTATTCTGATTTAAAATTGTGTTGCTCTGTAAATATTTTAAGGGTTTTGATGTGCACAAATATTACATCTCCAGATTTTTCATAGGTTTTATATCGCTCTGACATGGCACTCTGGGGATACAGATTTTTTTTTTTCTTCAGGCTCAGTTGTTTTATCTTTCCTCTTGCACAGTGTCTTATCTATGTGCAGCTACCCTATATGGAAGACCTAAGACAATATGTATTTTCATCCTTGAAAAACAGTAAAAAATACTTTCCTACAGGTAAGATATTTGTGTTGTCTTCTAACATTCTATAAAAGAGAATATTTGGCTCACCAATGAAAGCATAAGTTTTGTTGTTACTTTGACTTAGGAAGACACCCAGGTATTTGAGCATCCATTATGGTGATGTCATCTTGAAGTGTAAATGTGTGTTAAAGCTTTGCCACTTCAGGTGCAGGCTGAGCAGAGCTGAGTTTGCAAGCAGTATTTCAACTGTCCTGTTAAATGACTTCTGGCTCAGGTTACAGCATTGTGAGTCTCGAAGGATCCTGTGATAGAGAGCTGTGATTAGTCCTCTGTATCCTTTGATCTTTGAACTCATTTGTGGGAGTAAATGGCCAAACCTTGTGGGATCTACAGTGTGTGATTAGCTAGCTAGAATTAAAGCAGAGGCAGCTGCTCTGTTGGTGCAAAGCTGGTCCTGTAGCCATTTGCAGTATGGCCTGTTAATATAATGTACAAAGGCAAAGACAGTATTTTCTGTGGAGTGTTATTAAACCATGTGCTTATTGGTGTCCAGGTTGAGATGGATGGCATCTTTGGAGAAGAGGCAGCTACACAAAGCTTGACTTGCTGTTCTGAGAGTTTTGCACAGCGATGGGTCTTAAGTGCATGTAGTTTAAAATCCACTCCCACTTCTTTCGTTTGCTATGAGATGCATTGAATGGGCACCTGCATGTCAGGGTATATTTAGCATGCTGGTTTGTTTCTATAGCAGTTATTATTTTCTTGCCTGTAACCAGCAGTTTGATAACAAATCTAAAACGTGTCTTACCAAAGCAGTAGCTGGCTATTGTGAACTGTGTTAATTTGCAATCATAACTTTAAAAATTTATATTATGCCATTTAGTTTTGCAAACCAACTGCTCTCCTTATTTTCTAAGTGGCCTATAAACCTTCTGTTGCAAATGAAAACATCTTGAAAAAGAAGAAAAGCTAAAGCAGAGAGGCAACAGTAATTGAGGTCTTGGGGAAAAAGAAAAAGGCTTTATGACTTTATACTGTAGTCCTTAAGTAAAGCCGGGGTTTATTATTGTGTCCATTATCCATATTCTTTATTGGCACATCTATAGCTGTAGTGTGTTCTGTGGCATGTAATGACTTGGTGAAAATCTTGCATTGTGAAGCGAATCTTCATTTATAAATTGTTTCAAGAAATCCATCCATTTGCAAGTGTATTTAATCTTCCTTTATATGTAATTGCTGCCTTAGTGGATCAGTTATCTGCTGTTGACTCACTGATTGATTCTATGAATTTGGTTCATGAAGATGGAGAAACTTTTGAGGACCTATTTAAGCCCAGCAAAATTCCAAACCCTCATTTTCAGAGGTTATATCAGGTGAGATGAATTATATGGTATTTTTTAAAAACTTTTTTTCTTAAAATTTTTCACCTCTATGTCTTTCTTTGATTCACATTGGAAAGATATGCATTCTGAAAATGCAGATATAAATATCTGGCATTAAAGTATATGGTAACCAGTGACTTCTGTGTTATCCCTGACATCAATTTATTTTTAAAATTTCTAGTTTCCAGGAAGCAAGGGAAATTATACCTGTCCTGAGGTGTCTACAACAGCATCAGTGATATTCACAGGCACATAGACTAGGCAAATTAAAACTTGCCTCTCAACACTGTATAGTGGAAATAGATTCAGTCTTTGGCTTTTGGACAAAGAGAAAAAATTGGCTGAAAATTTGGGATATCTTCAGTTTCTCATTCTGTATCCCATCACTTTTCTGTGCATTATTGCATCTAGCAGTGTTCCAGACCAGGTCAGTCTGAGGTGAACTGGATCAGTAATAAATGGTTATTAACATTGTTGACATTTAAAATATTCTGTTGGGGTGTCTAAGCTGATGCCCTTTATGAGCCAGCAGAACAGTTCACACTTCTTGCAGTTATTATATCAAGCTGTCTCCATTTTGATTTACATTCCTTTCATGTCACGAAGACTTTTATTGCAACTGTGAGGATGAGAGACTTAATTATACATTGGAATGAAAGTGTTTAAAAAATGACACAGCAAATTCAAAAATAAAATTATATTGCAATTTAAGCAACTGCAGAATTGTACTGTATACAGAACCATGGAGATACATTGAACATGTGACTGCTCTGAAAATTGACCAAAAATGGTATTATAGCAATCACATTCATCATATCTCAGCAATTCCACATGATATATTTTGGTTTACAAGTAGGAAGAAGATGTTTTTTAAAATTAAGAAAACTTACCCTAACTTCCCAAAGCCTTGCTTCCTCAGTGTTGTTAAAATAACTAAAGGATCTGAAGATCAATGTGTGTTTCAGGAACACATGCAAGCCCACTGTCTTCAGCCTTACTCTGATTGACACCTGAAGAATTCGGAGGTCTCATCAAGTTCTGCCAGTCATATTGACAAGACAGTGTGTAACTGAATACAAGATTTGATAAGTTGGAGGTTATTGCAGGGCAAGAACTTCAAATGAACTGACCTCTGCACAACTCTTATTTTAGGAAGGGTGGTTAAGCTTGGATATTACAAAACTTGGGCTTTGCTCGTAAATTAAATACATGGGGGATAGAATTTCCTTTGTTATATTGCTATATAGAGTTTTGCATTCTTTTAGTTTAGTGGATGTCACCTATTGGTGAAAGATGTTTGTTTTAGGTGTGCTGTTTGTCTTCTGAAACAGTGTGATGGTGATGTTCCAGCACTTGGGTCAGTTGCTGCTGGAACAGAGTAACCGAGTAACTTGCCAATTTCCTTAGAGGATAATAAGATTTTGTAAGGGTGAGTGCTACTGGTAGAAGAAGCATTTATTGACTGAGTGTATGGGGTAGAATACAATTTGTCTTTGCTGTTTAGAAAGCCCTAAACTGTCAGACCCCTTAGTGCTTTCTTTTGGTCACACACAGCCCTATTTGTTTGTCTTATTACAAAATTGCTATTAATCTATGCTAAGTTGTTCTCTCCTTTGCTGCAAAGATATTCCAGGTTCTTAGTATTTTGCTCTTAGGCAAAGTGGCACTGCTGGTTTCTTAAGAACTGTGAAGAGAAATTCTGCATCATCTTTTGACTGTAGCCAGTAAGTGGATTGGGCTGAATAGAACCTATAAATGGTTTTGAAAAGTAACTGTGAAGAAAAGGATGAACTCCTACTTCATTTCCTTGCTTTGTTGCCTCATGAAGATATTTGGAATGATAAGTGACAAGAGCCAGAATTTAAACAAAAACATCAAGCTAAATTATATATCTGGAAGTAGCAGTAGGCATCAGGAAATGACAGAGTGGGTGAGAAATAGTTGTTAATGCTTTCTGGAGTGGAAAATGAGGAATATCCTATATCCAGACTTTCAACCTTTATTCCTTGCTTCCAGAAAAAAACTAAGTGAACTTCTGTAGCTTTTGTAGTGGTAGACTTCCAACATTATTGTTTAAGTTGTCCATCCTAAATACATGTATTTGAAGCATCTAAGATGTTTAGGGAATGCAGTTAATTTCATTTGTTAGCCAAATAAAAAAATTGGTTCAACAATGGTGGTTCTATAGAGAGATGGACCTGTTGGTCTGTTGGTGTATATATGTCATTGTTTATCACAGAATTAATGGTGTGCAGCCCACTTCATTGCATCCATTGACCAGTATCTTGGTGTGACCCCTGTTCCTGAAAACTGGCTGTGTCTCTTGAAGTAGAAATGTAAGGAATTAGGAAAAGCAATGAGGAGCTAGTGCCTTGGTGACAACCTGCATGAATAGAACAGTGAGTCTGTAAGGCAGTGGCAGTGTGAGTTTCTTCTAGCTGTGAAGGTAGGAGTGATTCCTGCTGGACACAGAAGGAAGGGGTGAAGCAAGGTTAAGAGGGATGGTGTTGCTTTAGAGATTCCAGGTTGTCTGTTTAACTTTGTCTCCATTTAGCACCTGAGTTTTGACAGTACCTGCCATCTCAGGTTTCAGATGTAGTCATCTACTTTAAAAACAGGTAAAAGTGGATGCTGTGTCCGCTCAGTCTGCTCAGCTCTTGCAGCTGCACACATTAAGGTGTCAGTTACAAAAGCCTAAAATACATAGGCATAACAGGGGACTTAAGTTTTTTTGCTTTGTGAGTTTAATTCAATTACCTATTTTTTTTTTATCATAAGAGCCATTACTGAAGCTTCCAGCAACATTTCTACTGCCTTTCAAAATAATTGTGACTTAAATCATTACAAGTGTTTCCAAATCAGTTGCCTTGTACAACTGCCTCCTTTTGGCAGTACATTCTAATGTGGACTGGAATCTTAATGGCAGCCTGAAAGCACATCAGTATTGATGTATCACATATTGTCTCGATTTTCTCTATTGGCAGATTTCCAGTATGAATAGGAGTTTTTATTTGCTTTGATTTTGTTTTTTAATGTCGTGTCTGACAGCCAACAGGGGAGCAAATCTCTGCTGTATTCCTAGTTTACTGAGTAGGTGCCTTCACATGAGTGTCTAATGAACCCAGTGCAATAGGCATAGAAAAAAATTTGTCTCCTTTGTATATCACGTTTTGATGTGTTTGTGTGCATGCACTGGTATCTGTTTATTGGTAAATGCACATACCTCTTTACTGCTATCTCACACTTCACAAAATTGTAAAGATATTTACTTTATTTTCAAAGCCCTCCATGGAATTTCTGTAGCCTGCCTCATTAACCTCATCTCTCCCGTCTTCTTGACTCCGTGACTGTGTGAGCTGACTCTACACTTGGGTGAAAAATCCTTCTCTGTAGCCCTCACCATCTGTTCCAGCTTTGTGCATCTGTCAGCTCCCTTCATTCTCTACTTTTTTCAAAGCTAGGTTCCAAACATTCATATATTCTGTACCTCACCTGTGCACATTTAATATTCTCTTTCTATTTGCATTCTCTCTTAAGCTTGTGAACATTCTTCCTGTATGGATACTGAGTATGATATTTTCTTTGAGGGACATTGAACTGTTACAATAACTGGAATGTGTGGTTGGGATAGATCTCATTTACTTTAATTTTGAAGTGTACAGAAATCTCTCCTGTGGGACTGTTTTATAAGATAACTGCTTTTTAAAGGTAGAGTGTAGCTAAAAATATGAACCATTGCAGATGACTGTTTAATTCCTGGGATTTTTCTAATAATTTTCATAGAACTCATTCCAGTGAGTGTGGGAACACTCATCTGCATCAGTATTCTTGTTTAATATCATTAATAATCTCCTTAAACAGTTGATCATGACTTTCAGTCCACTGTGAGACAGGATATTTTTCAGCAATACAAAGGTAGTGTGTTTAATATGGAAGATATTTTGCAGTTACCATATGGTGTACAGGCATTATATTGAAAGTTTTTAATATAATTGAAAGTTCTACTTTGCTCAGACTATTTTGTTTCTTGCAGTGTTTGCAGCACAAGGCTTTTTACCCTGATAAGCCACTGCCACCAATAGAACAGCACATTTTAGAAATGCTGGAGATGCCTTGTGTGGTAAGAGAAAGGTGTCAGACTCCTCTGGAAAGAGTAAAAGCACTTTTTCCCCTAAAGGAAGTTGGCAAGAAAAAAGAAGAGAAGACTGCACAAGACATCTTCAAAGACAAGTAAGTTAGAGATGTATTATGGATTTTTTTTTTTTTTTTGAAAATTTTTTTTACACTTCAGGTTGTTTTTGCTGGATGAAGCAGGCTCAGAATCTTTTGAACAGAAAATCAATGAGTTACACACTGGAAAAAATGCTGATGGATAGAGAATGTTGTGGTGCCACAGAATGTCTGGAGTATTTTGTGGATAGTGGTGGTCATACTGTTGCAGTGCAGGACACACTAGGCACCAGTAAGTTCCTCATGTTTGTATTTGCTGCCACAGAATCACAAAATCCATCAGATTGGAATGGACCACTGCAGGCTTCTAGGTCAACCTGTTGCTCAAAGGCCACCTGTGAGATCTAAGGAGGGATTCGTATAGTCTGGCCTTGAAAACCTTCAGGGTTTGCATCCTTTCTGGGCAACCTGTTGCATTGCTGCTTGTTTCCTGGTCAGTTTGTCCTACAAGAGTTTATAAAATAGTTTCAAATAACAGTAACAGAGGATCTAATTTAGTTTAGAATAAATGCCATGGCAGTTTAAATTAGCCATAAAGTTGAGCCTTCCTTCTCAGCATGCTTGATTTAGGTAATTATCTAGCTTTCATTTTGAATATCAAAAGAAAAGCAGTTTCATTATTATCTACTGTGCAATTAATGTGGTTGTCTCCAAAAAAATCAAGCTGTTATAGACTCTTCCTGGAACAGCTATTGTTTGAACAGTTTTAAGAAAGGTATTTTTGATGTTATTGAATATAGTGTGTTTTGTTTATTTGTGCTGCAGATAGAAGAATAAATGCTAAATTGATACTACTGTTGTATTGTCATCTCAGCCAAATCAATTTGCGTAAACAAAATCTGCTTCTGAGAAATTAATTTACATAAATCTATAATATAAGTACTGGGTCCCTGAGATGCTGGAGTGTTCTCAGCTCCTTCTCCCTTTGTTTCGTCATTGTTGGTTCAGTTCTTTCAGCACTAGGAATGACATCTTTGAAGTGTTTTGAGCTCTTGCTTAGCTCTGTGTTGGGTAGAGCCTCCTCAGCATCTTGTCTTTGGGAAGACATGACACAGGACTCCTCACTTTGCTGCTTGAGACTAATGACCACATTCCTCTCTACAGACTGGGACACACCTGGCTTTCTTTTGTTGTTGTTGCTGATATCAGTGTATTCCTATTGCCTTGGTGTATCTCTGAATTCATACTGATTCAATTCTCTTTTCCTTACTCCATGCCTCAGTTTCTCTGGGTTTATGTACATAAGTGCATTCATATATATATATCTTAAAAAGTGGTAGAGCCAGATTAGAAATAAAAGGCAAAAAATTGGGCTCAAACAAGCTAGAGAGAAAATTTAAACAAAAAGCAGTGACCCATTACTGTTAGTTGCTTTAAAATATATCATCTATTTTGTTTAAAAACTGGCTTCTTTTAGAGAGGTGATAAAAGTAGTTGTAAAAGCAATTTAGATAGAAATTGATGTTGGGCATTAAAATTATTTTAAAAAATAAGCTGTAAAGGAAGTAAAAGATACAGACTCAACTATGCAAAGAGGAATGAATGATAGTTAAGATTTCTTTTTAAATTGCAGAAAAATGGTATTGCTGTAGTAATGAATGGGGCTGGTAGTATTTTATCGTTGGTACAACAGCAGTCTTAACTGTATGTTTTTGTTGTGTGTTTGGGGAAAACTGAGATGATATAATTTATTCATTGGATCAAGAAAAGTGCATCACTCTGCAACAATGATTAAGGAAAATATTAAATTACAGCGGCACTGGCACAGGTTGCCCAGAGAGGTTGTGGATGCTCCTTCCTAGCAGTGTTCAAGGCCAGGCTGGGTGGGGCTTTGGGCAGTCTGGTTTAGTGGGAGGTATCCCTGCCCATGGTAGGCATGTAGGAACCATTCTGTGATTCTCTATGCTATGGTTCTATGAGATTCAACTTATTGATACTAAGATATAGGTTGCACTTAAGTATTTGGAAAAGTTGCTTAGGAGATGTCTTGACCATTATTTTTGTTTTCTATAACTGATTTCTATCTCCTGTCATAATACTGACCAGATTCTTCTCTGTTAATTTTTAAGGTCTAATGGGACTAAAGCAACATAATTGTAGGCATGATATCTTAATAGAGATTTTGGTATTAATTTGTATCACTTTTGCATGAGATCTGTGTAGTTAAAAAAATCCAGTAATATAGAAAACGTTTTACTTTTTCCTTCTTAGGTTGGCTATGGAGAGGCTGTTATCTCATCCAGCTTTGCAGGATATGAGAGGCTTCTATATTAATGTAGAAGTGGGTGTTTTAAATTAATCTTGTATTTTATTAATTTTTCTCAAATAGTAATTGCACGTTTTGCAGTTTAAAAATACTGCTAATCAGTGCATATTCTAAATGTCAGATCCTTGGCTGGTATAAATGGCTATGAATTCATTAGTTTCTGCTGTGCTGCACTGATTAATGACAACTGTAGATTTGGTCCTAGGCTGTTAAATGCAGCATCATCATATATTTTCTCCTTCCTCCAATCCCTAAGCATTTTGAATCAGTAAAAATAATGCAGGAAGAAAAAGAAGAAAATTGATTGCCATATACTTTTGGAGGAAAATACTCAAAAAGAGAATTTTTGTTGTTCTTTACACCTTTCATCGAAACATATTAATATACAAGATTTCTGGTTCCAGTGGAACTTCTAAACTCTCTGGTGGTGATAAGTATCAGTTTCTCCTTTTACAGAGAGACACACTGGTTGTTCTAAACAATCAAGCAACTTGTTCAAGGTTAGCCAGAAAGTCAGCAGAGATGAGAATGAAGCAAAGGTATCTTATCCTTGTCCTTAGGCATAGCTAAAGTCATCATTTCTCCTAGAGTGATAAGTAAGGTTATGCTGAATGACAGGAGTTGCTGAGGAAAAGAGATTTCATTTTGGTAGTGACAAAATTAAGTAAAGGACACAGAAGATTTCTGAAACAAAGTGAGAGAGACAATGATTGTAAAGTAGGGGAGAGAGTGTGCTATAGAAAGCAAAAAGGAAGACTGCACAAGTTCTTTCTAATAGTTGATTGCTTCTGTAACGTGCAGTGCAGTTTTTGCAATCACTTCTAATCTTGCAGGATGAAAAGTGGCTCCTAATCCAGGATCTCTGACTTTGTCCCTACATCATCATGCAGTTTCTTCTTTTCACAGTAGTAGAATTTTTCAGAAAAACTTTTTACTTTGTTTTGGGATTCCTTGAACACAAATCCTGCCTTTTGGGTTGCTGAGTAGCTTTCAGTCATTCTTAAACAGAAATCAATTCATCTGTGTCAGTAGCCTGACAGCATCTGATTTCCTTTCCCTTTTGTGATTATCTGGATTTTCCTCTGTTGCCGAGATGTGCTCTGAAGTGTTGCATGTTAGAATTAAGTTCCTAGTTTGAATGTACACCTTTGTAAGGACAAAGCAAGAAAGTAGCCCAAAATCACAATTAGCTTTTAAAAAATAAAAATAGTCTTTTGAAAGCATTTTGAGATGTAGCTTAAAATGTCCTAAGAGAGTTCTGATCTTCTTAACTGGAGTTTGTCTAGGTTTTAACAAATACAAGGTGCAAGTTTACAGAGCTTTCATGTGCTGATGGAGAATAGTGGTCATTAGGCTCAAAAGTCACTGTGTAAACAGGTTTGTATTAGCTGTAAATTCCAAGACAGGATCTAGCAGGTAGTGATTGAACAGTAAATTAATGTCTTACTAAAATGGTACATTTTCACTTACATTTCATGTTTATAAAAAATCTAGTGAAAATACCAAATGTCATATTATATACTGTAAATTATCAAGGCTAACTCAACACAGAGGTTCTAAATAAAGTGTTTGGAGATATTTTGTATTTAGAAAGATGAAGAAGGTTTGTATAAGGAAATTCATGCCTGAAATAAGCAGTAATAATCTCATACTTTCAACAAGTGATGCCTTTGCTGGATGTGAAGATGAAGTTTGATCTGTTTTTACTGTCTGGCTTATGCAGCCCAAGGGAAAAATAAGGCATGTTTAAATGTTGATTTTGGAACAGTTGTGTAATGAAGTTTAGTTCAGTGTATATTTCATTAATTTATTGACTCCCTGGTTAGTAGGCAGGACAGTCATCTTCAAGTGTTTATATTCATTTTTGTCCTTCTCATTTGCAGCGAAGATGAACCCGGCCTTAAGAAACCAAAAATTGAAGATGAGGAAGAAAGCTTTAGCATTATGAAACTTGCTGAAGGCAATATCACCTCTGTAAGCATATTTTTACAAATCTGATTATTAAAGGGGAAGATTAATTCTCGAAATCTATTGTAGTGAATATACAGAATTCCTGATAAAAGGAGAGTTTCTAGCTGAAACATGACTGAAATACTGTCTACTTGTACATCTGAGACTCTGCTAGAGATTCTGAAGACAACTTTCTCTGCCCTTAGGCATGTGTTAACACAAGTTTCCATCAGTCGTGGATATTTTAGGACAAATTTCTCTCCTGGTGTTTAGAACTCTAAAAGAAAAGCCTGAGGATCTGAAGAAAACAGAATTGGAGCTTAGTGGTTGAATTTTGTTCTCGCCGTCTTTCATATCTTCTGCAACATAAAAGTTGCCTCTGTGTATTTAATCAAAAGTATTGCTGTGATTTTAGACATTGTTCTCTGCATTAGTTTGGAGGCTAAATCAGAAATTTGGCTTCATCTTGCCACTAGATCTAACTTATAATTTTGTGGCTAGACAAAACCTGTATCATAACTGTGCACCTTCCTTTATTTGATGTTTTCCTATTATAAAAGAGTAATTAATATTGAGCTAACTTCTCTTGTTTTCAAATGTGCTGTTCTTTAAGGTTCATTTTGAAAAAAGCATTATTGATACTTACAAAAATATTTGAAGTCGAAAAAGATTTCAGTGTTCTGACTTCTAATATATTTTTTTGGTATTTCCTGAAAAGTGGCATAGCTAGATCTTGAAGAAATACAGTGAAACCAAGCAAACTTATTGCAAATCCATGAATTATTTTGACAGCAAAGCATAAAAAAAAAGTAGGAGAATTGATTGCTGATAGAAAATTTTAAGATTGTTGTTTTTTTTCCCTCAAGTTAATGCATCCATTTTTCAGTGTTTATTTATATTTGACCTGGTTTTAGTTCCTTTGAAAGGTTTCTGCATTTGCATGCCGATTTAGAGCATTTAGACTTTAAGATGTCAGACTCTGCCAGAAAGCCTAGATGATTTAAGTGCAAGCTTTTAATTTTGAGGCCCTATTGGAGTGGCAAACCACTGATTCTGTATCCACGTGCCTCGGAGCTCACACTGCTCACTAAGCATCTGGTAGATTAGAGAGGTCTAAGAGGTCTGTGCTACAGATGGTCTCAAAGCTGGACTCGCAGATAACCTCAAGTGTTGTGCTCATGTCCTCTCAGCACCAGGGAAGTGGTCGACTTGTCACAGCGCAGCTGAGTGACTTCATCTTGCTCATGTCATAACCAACCTTTGCCAGGAATACTGTGCATTAACACACTTTATAAGACTTGCATTTTTGAGTCTGAATGCAGAGAAGTACACAGTTCAAATATTCAAATAAAAAAAATTTAAAGATTCTTGTTGCCTGACAAGAAGAAAGAGATGCATTTTGGAAAACAGTTGAATTGGTTTTGTACTTTTTGTAGGTAGGCAGTGTTAACCCAGCAGAAGATTTCCGAATTCTGGTGAGGAAGAAAAATGCTGACTTCAAAGATGGTAAATTACTTTTGTCTATCTTAATTTTATTAGTAGCACTTTCAGAGTTCATTAAATGCAATTCATTTGTCTAAACATAAGTTTCTAGTGCAATGTGACTTGCTCTGGAATTTACAGGTTAGCTTGTAGTGCCACTGAGCCAAGGAAGTTGTCATCTGTAATTCCCGTGTTAATACTTGCCTTCCCCAATTAAAAGTCTCAGGTAGCTGTGTTTGGGTAAAAAGGCACTGGGTAGCTACATTGAGGCACCTGAGCAGCTCATCAGTTGTCTCTAACAAAGACCCCTTGGTAGTCACTGATGGCCTCATTCGGAATGATCCTCAGCTTCTCATTCCTGGGATCTTCCTGGCCTGAAGTGGAGAGCTGTTGGGTGTGCACAGTGTGAGAAACCTGTCTCATGTTGCATGAACAAAAAAAGAGACTCTCATGCCTGGGACTTAAATCTTCATATGCAAAGGTCATTTCTTACTGCTTGTGAGTGGAAGAAAGCACAGGTGAATTCAGAATGGAATAAAAAGGTAGTAGTATTTGTAATCTGAAAGTTGAGAGAAGGCTCTGTGAGTACTGACTCTTCTCAGAGATAAAAAAGAACACAAGGCACAGGTCAAGCACCGTCTTCCATGGCCTAAGTCTGAAAATGCTATGAAATTATCATTGGTTTGTATGGTATTTCCCTCCTGGAGTAGCTATACAGGGATATATGTAATCCAAAGGCGTCCTAAAAAGAAGGCACAAGATGGATAGGGTCCTTTATTTCATAAAGGATGATTGGAAGGTTGTGGCAGAGTAAACCTGATCTGCCAAATAGCCACTAATGTCACATTCCTTTTCAAATAAAGATTTGCAGAGGTGCTTAAGTGAGGTACTGGGTATTACAACAAGGCCTTTGGTCCTTTTGATGTAGTTTCAGGAGTGTATTTAGCAGGTATATTGAGTTGTAATATGGCCTGTTAAATCCTGCATAGCTATTTCCAGAATTTCCAGACCTCTATGCCAGCTAGGTAGATTTTATACATGGATTTTTCATTAGACCTAGAAGAAATTATTTATTTAAAAAATATTGAGTTGTATTCTTAAATCTCAGGTATATTAAGATGCGGTTAAAAAAGCATTGTACAATTCATTAGAATACAGAAAATGTGAAACAGTTGACTACTTTGTTACAGTGATAAATTTTATCATGTAGGAAAGCTTTGAGCTAGAAATAAGTATAGTGATTATCCTTGAAGATGGTTTAACTAGAATGAGTGTTTAAATATGTCCACTTGGTAGCTGTGCTGGAGATAACTGCAGTACATGGTTGGAAGGTTATGAAATTTTGAGCAATTTGCTTTTATTCTCTGTGATCTGCTCTGTAATGATAAGGTGTAGTTAAACAGAATGTAGTGCAGTCACCCATTTGAAGGAGAGATAGAAGCCACTATAAATAAAAACATACTTTGCATATTATCTCTTTCTTCTGGATAATCCTTTTTGTGCTTTAGAGTCTTTTAGGTAGCTTAATATATTGAACATTGCAGGCATGTTTTTAATGGCTTGCTATATTGCACTTTGGTTATGTAAATAGTAAATTCTGCCTTAAAACTATTCAGTGGTTCTAAGCGGTTTTTTGGTATAATTTTGTCATTTAATGATGAATTTTTTTCCTTCTGCTAGAACATAAGAAATATAAAATTTCTTTGCAGAGAAGGATAATCTATGGCATTCAAATACTTATTTGTAAAAAGGATAGCATTTCACGTTGTCAGGATGCAGACAGGAGAACTGCTAAGCTGCATTCTGTTTTTATTTCTTGTATTTAAAAAACATCTACTACACTCTTCCTAACTGAATAGAACTTACATTCACCTTTTAAAATAACAGCAGTCCTTTCATAGGGAGGAGAAAGACCTTTCAACTGTTTGATTGGAGGTGGGTTGTTTTTTGGTAGATAAGAGAAGTTGTAGCAGTAGGAAGAGTTGCACTTTAAATACTGACACTGCTGTTACTTTTTAATTCAGCTCCAGGTTAATGGCACACCCACACCAAAATTATAAAGTTAGCAGTACCAGGGGATGGCAAGGTGATTATTTTTCTTTTTCTTCTGAAACAGCTTGTAGGAACTCCTGATGGTATATTTATCACTGAAAATAGGTACCAGTATATTTCCTGCAGTGCCCTCACTGGGATTCATTAATCAGGGCTTGTACCTTTCCTAGCCGAAGTCTTAAGTGGAAACTAGTCTGGGTCTGATGATGTATAAGAACTTTGCCACTAATTCCTAAATAAAGATTTTTAGATTGGCAAGGATCTTAGAGATAGGTTTTCTGGACTGGCAGCTCAACTCCTGAAACAATAGTCAACTTCGTTTTTTCCTGAAAATTGTGTTGTTTATTACAGGAGGGAGCTGCTTAGGGGTTACATGGTGAGATATGTTTGATGGTTTCAGCTTAGTTGTTAATGCTGATGCTCATGTAACTAGAATTGTGTTCCCATACTTTCTTATCCTCATCCTTACTTTCTTATTTGCATTCACGGCCAGAGAGGTGTTATGTTATGCAGGTCTTATTTTGAGCAAGTCACAAGTGTACAGTCATTACAAAGAGATGTCTCCTGATAACAACTTCTGACATTTTTGTCAATGACTGCACATAAAATAGATTAGTTTACCTGAGTAGAATCTAATTGTTGCTCCCAAGGGTGTACAATGAGTTTCTTCATTTCTGTGGCTTCAGAGAATGCAGTCAGTGCTTGCCATCTTTGTAATGCCAAAGGAGTCGCCACGTACTACCAGTTCATCCTCCTGTTTGGAGGTTTCCATCCATGTCTGCATCTCTGGAGAGCAGATCATGTCTGATGTGTTGTGTTGTATTTTCATAGACTTCTGTATGAGATAGAATCAGGGGAGTAGAAAAAGGTACTGACACGTGCATAATATTTTCTCTGATTTGTAAATTTTCTGTGTGAGTTTATAGGCCACATTTATTGCACCTTACATCCTATCTGAGACCATGATCTTGAAAAAGCTTTTTTAATTTACTGATTTTCAGCTGGGAGAGAAATCTGCATGTCCAGAGACAAATTGCACTAAGCTCTCATTTCTGTATTTATAGTAAATTAGTTAATATTTTTTCCTAACCATTTCTAGAAAAATATAGCTGAAAGAATCAGTAACTGCATATGAACAATGATGATATTTCATTGCAATATTTTCTGTAGAAATAAGTATAGTTAATTACCTTTCTGGAGCTAAGATAGTTTTCTAAAAAGCAAATACTTAATTCTTTGTTGGCGTGTTTTTGCAGTTTGCATTTTTATCTTACTGGATGTTTTTGTATATTTCAGAGACTATTCATGCTCTACTGCTAGGCAAGCCAAATGCAATGACTGGTTTGATGAAAATGATTCAGTCATTAGAAGGGTTTTTGCAAACCAAATACTTAAGTCTATAGAATCACTTTGAAGTTTTCTGTATAACTGCTTCACAGAGAAGATGAAGCCAGGTTTGTCTTTGAAGGGCACAGTGATTGGGTGAGACTCAAAGCTCTGAGTTGCAACAAACAGAATTTGAATTAGATGTTATAGGGGAAAAGATAATAAAGATCACACTTATGGGACTTAGACAGAAAAAGGGGCCCATGAGAACTTGGAGACTCCATTTTTGGAGCTACATGGAACTCAGGTCTCTGGGGCACTGAGGCACCTGTTCCACAGTGAACCCTGTTTTTAGCAGGGATTTTCGTTGTATGTCCTTCAGACATGCAGCCTCAATCATGCTAATCCATACTCACAGGTCATTTAGAGACACCATTTCAAAACTGAACAGCACCTCATAGGGTATTGGATTAGTTCAACAAACAACAGGTCTTGGTCTTAAAATTCTTATTTCTTAGCTTAAAGATGAAGGAGGCCCTTAAAAATTAGTACATTTTTCAGTTCAGAATTTCTTTCTTCTTTTCAGTTCTAGAAAGATGATACAGAGCAGTATTTTAAAATGAATTACCAGGTGATTTAACTGATTTGTCAGTGAATCACACTTTAAACACTGCCCATGAATACAAATCATTATCACCAGCAGCACGTAAATCAGAAGATTAACGGGAGTCTTTTGTCTAAAGGAAGAAATTTTTTTTAACCCGATTTTTTTTTTGGGGGGTGGGGGAATCTCCAAGGAATCAAGCCTGGATTGTAATAATAGACAGTTTTGGCTATTATTGTATAATCTGATTGGTATAGTAATCAAGACCAAGAGCTGAACTGAACAAACATGAAAATACAACTGCGCTTCTGTATTGTAGCTGTTCAGAGATAACAAGTGAATATAATTGTTCATGGCATATTTCACAAAAAATGACAGCAGTAGTGAATGTATTTTGGAGTAGCAAATGTATCTGAATGCCAGAGGGGAAGGGATTAAATTCTGCTAGAACTAAAAGATCTTCTATTCTGGGATTTTTTTCTGCAGTTCTCCAACCGTTAATAACTATATTTGTTATCTAACCAGTCAGGTACAATAGAAAAAGGAAAGAGGACATTAAAATTTCTTGGGATGTTCTGCAGAATGTGGTGGTTATTAGGAGTGCTGGAAATTCAGTTAATGCAAAATGTAGAAATCTGTTGTTCACTTTCTTAAGAGTGTGTGGAGTTAGGGAAGTTGGGAGAGAAGAAAAAAGTTGCAATTACAGAGGAATGGCCTGAATAGGCTGTCAGTTTGTAACTCAAGGGTCTACTCCTCAAAACCTCAATCCTGAGATTTGTCTGGGACATATCAGAGTTAATGCTTATCACAGCTTAGTTAAAAAGACATCTTTATGCAGAACATGCCTTGCTCCAAAAACAGGGACATTATTTTTTGCAGCATCCAGACCCAAAGATTCAGACTAATGAAAAGGCAGCAGGAAATCAATGAAGTTCTCAGATTAGAAGTGTAAAGGAACAGCAACCACTTCAAGAATTTCCTGATATAATCCTTATCTACTCTCTTTAACATTACTTTTGGCCCCCTGAAGTAATTTGGTAGTCTAATCAGAACATAGGAATTTTTGTCTATTTTAGATTGATCCATCATTGGTCTATCATTTAAGGGAAACCCAATGAACAGAACCAACTTTTTAGCCAAGCAACTTCAGGATATTAGAGGAATGTGACTTTAATACTGTTGCCATGTTACCTGTTTGCTGCCTATATTATGGACTCTCAGTGCCTGGTAAAACCTTGCAGGTTTCATTTGGTTCCTTACCACAGATTTCAAAAGGAGGCATCTCATAGTCAGTAGCAAGAAAGTATTTTCTTCTGATGGCTGCCAGGGCAATAAATGGAAAGGGATTTAAAAAAAATTAAATGCAAAAGAAGTAGTAGAGTGTCAGATAATTTCAAACAGTATGCTGGAATCTTTCTGACAATAAAGATTTTTATTGCACCCTTATAGTGCCTGGGGTTTTAATTTAACACATCAATGAGAAGGCAGTGTTTAAAAAAACACCACCACCACTGAAAACACCAGCAGGACTTGCTTTTATTAGTGCAATTCATAAGAAATTAGAACATTTAATGAGAAAATCATTAACCATGAAAAAAATGGACTGACTTAACTTGGGAAGCTTAAGTAGTTAGACTTCAATTTAGCTTGTCAGCTACTGGTGAAATAAATAGAGAGTGAACTGATTACCTCTGGCACAGCAGGCACTTCAGCACACTTTGTGCTGTCGCTGCCGTTGGGCAGAACCATTATCGGCCTCCTTTTCTAGAAACTATCAAAACCTAGTGAGGGAATACCAAACATGCCTTGTTTCACACTATGCAGAGATATTGTCCATCAGATTAAGTTCAATTAGGCATTTTATAGAAAATTATGTAACAGCTGGTGCTGTGCATGCTCACAGTGAGCAGAGAGGAACACAGTACTTAAACAATGTCTTCTTCTTGGTGTGTTTACTTTTTGTTTCTTCCACCAGTCTGGCAGGTGCTTTTCTTTGTTGATGCTTCTTGAAGTGATGTCTATGCCCATTTAACATCTGGAGCTGGGAAGTGCTATAGGTCGGGGAAAGGTTCTGCTAATCCACTGACTGGTCTTTAACAGTACAAGAACAGGACAGGCAGGTGCTGTGACTTGGTCAGAAAGCTTTTCTGAATCTTTTTCTTCAGTGGCAACAACACTGTTAATCTCCCTTGACAGGCATCCTCTTTTAAGAATTGTAACAGACATTTTTCAAGTTGTCAAAACTTAAATCAGCCTTTGGTAAAGGGGTTAACTGCTGATGTATGTTTCAAAAGATCGTGTTTTATTGTTTGTTCTTAACCCAAGTCTTGACTCTTGTTTTGAGAGAGGCAGAGCACTATCAACTCCCTATTCATTCTTTTCACAATGCTTCTGAATTTATAGATCACTGTTGTATCCTCCTTACACTTGTTTTTTCCCTGGCTGAGGTGTTTGCCAGAAGGTAAAATTGGACAGTTTCTTAACTGTAAGTAAACAGGAAGAGAAAGTAAATTACTAAAATTCAGCAGAAATTAGTTTGGATTTGCAGAGCTCTTGGGTGACATTTTCTCTTGTCTATTTGCAGTGGTTTACAGCTACCTACCTTTTAGGAGCTCAACAGTAAGGGTAAAACTGCTGTTCACCTTCTTGTTGGTACAGGTCTCACTGTTTACTTCTGATTCTTCCTGTCAGGCATGCACACTTTATAATCTATAATCACAAACCTCTTTGCTGTGATGAAAAATTATCAAACTACCTGTGCAAGAGACGAGACATACTCTGATGTCAATAGCAGCAAGGTCTTTTAACTGCAGTCACCCTACACATGTCCATTTGATGTTATTATGCTTTTCTCTTAAATTTAATGCTTTTATTGAAATACACATTGACTATTGAAATACAATTGAAAATTGATTGCAAAGGATGTATAGGGGATATGCTTGTGTTGTAAAACATTAACCTCCCTAAGCTTTAGGATCCCAAATTTTTATCAAACAAGTTAGGCCACTGCTTTTTTTTCCTTGGCTTTCAGGGAAAATTATGCTTTGGACATGCTTGAGGTTCTTCCTAGTCTGTCTGGCTTTTCCAGAGAGGCTGAAATTATTGTCACTAACTTATATAACAATTACCAGCTTGCATAGCTTGAGGCAGTGCGGATATGATTAAATACTTAGATGCCTGTGGAATAGAAAAAGAGAGATATAAAAGAAAAGTTGGATTTTTTTTTTTCCTTGAAAGTGTTCATTCTTTTATTTATTTATCAGTTGATTTCTCCTTGTCTTCCAGTGAGTCAGCAGTTGATAAACCGCATTGATCAGTTCTTGGAAAATAAAGGTTCACAGTACTACATGAAAGGGATCAACTGTATCAGAGTTTTTAGAGAGGAGGCCATGAAGGTAATGTTAATGTGTGAATACTCTGACCTCTTTCAAATTAAAGGCATGATGGACCTATTTGCTTGATAATCTATTGCTGCAGCAAAAATAATTTAACTTTAAATATGTTTCAAATTTTAGAAATAGAGTTACATTTATGGGGGCTTTTATTGTTACTGGAATGAGGACTAGCCTCTCTGGTGTTACTTGCTGTTGTTTTTGTTTAAACATAAAACAGAAGGCCTATGACCTGATGCTTGTGCTAATTAAAAGTACAATCCTACAATTTTCTTCTTCAACAGAGCTAGTTACAAGAAAGTCTTTCTCACATTCTGAGGGGTGCTTTTTGTGGCTCACCTTTCCTTAGAACTCACAATATTGATAGAAAAAAAACCCCAAATTCTGTAGAGACTTTTGTGTTCACCATGCTAAATTACTTCATGAAGAATTAAGCTTGCATTGCTCTTTAGTAGTTCTAATATTTCTTGCTTACATTTGCTGTTACATTTTTTTTCAGCTGTCCAAGGTGCAGTGCTTTAATGATTTTCTGCAGGCCTTGAAAGCAAAGTTGGAAGATAAAGCCGTATCTGATTTCTGGGAGATCATGGTACAAGGTAGGATGGCATTTAATAAAAACTAGAAATTTCTATTTGTATTGCATTTATCTACTAAGTAAGAAAGCTTTGTTAGCAGTGGGACAGTTAAACTAACCCCACTGCAGCATTTTGATATGCTTCATTCCTGCAGCCTATTTAAAAAAAAAAAAAAAACAAAAAACCAAAAAAAACTTTCATGTTGCAACTTCCTTTCCTTTTCTGCACTGATAGTTTCATATCAGCATTATTCATAATGCACTGCCAAGTCTTGTTGAAATGGTAAATTAATTGTGGAAGAAGAGACAAACTAAATGTTATGGGGTAAGGAGAAGAAGACACAATTTCAGAATAAATGGAAAAAACTCATGCAGTAGAGCTATAAAAAGATTCTTGTCGTCTGAGCTTCCAAAAAGTCATAGATAGCGTTGAAATGTGTCACTGATCATTTTGTATTTAAGCAATAGGAGAAGAACAGAATATGTGGTAATATGACACCTACCTATGATTAAACTGGGAGATACAAGGCAGTGCTATTCTAAAAGACATTCAGAGACTACACAAGTGATAAATAAAGGAACATTTTCACAAATAGAAAATGTAGTGGACTAAAAAAAAAATCTACATCATACTCTTGTTTTTAATTGGAACCAATGCTAAGAAAATCTGTTAAATGCCCAGCTGTATCTCTGAAGGGTGCATGCTATAAAATTAATTGCTATGATTTTGTGTAGTACCATTCAAACTGATGAATTCCAGACATGCTGTAATGTCTACTTCATCCAGCTTTGAATTACAGGATGGGAATTTGTTTAGCAGTGTAAAAAAAACAGCACAGGACAACACTGACAAGAACATTATATTCAGTAGTGCTGTAGGGGACCTTATCTGTATAAATTTGGAGAAAGAAACCAATAAACTTTGAAAGTAGCAAACTTGAATCTTTCAAAGCCATGAATAATTTTTAGTTGGTATAACTCAGAGTTTTTGACAAACTGGAGTATGGTTTTGAGGAAAAAATCAACCAAACAAAGAAATACAAGGAAAGATGATATTTTCATGCAGCATAGATTATCTTCCTTTGAGAACATGGTGAAATGAAATCTTGATGCTTAATGCATAATCTGGCTGTTCTCAGTAGGAAGATGAAATTGCTTTTTACTTGCTGCTAACAAGAGCAGGAGTTGTTTTCTCTCATTCTTGCCATGTGACCCATCCCCTCTTTTCACCAAGTGTGATGTGCATTGGAGTTTGTCATGAGTGACTGCCATCACCAAAAGAAGATGGATGTAAGTTAATGAGTTAATGGCTCAGAAGAAAGGCAGATCTTTGTTTCATGAAACCCTGCCATGTGGCTCTGTGGGCACAAGGAGGTGATTCTACACTTACACTGCTGCTGAAATTTCTATGAATCTCCTGTTTGCTCTCACACCCACAGCTGCTTATTTGGGCACAAGCATTTGTATGGCTAAGTGATGAACTGGACTGGAAAAAATTGGGGTCAAAATAAATGGAGATTTTTTTGAAGTTTTTTTTTGGCGGGGGTAGTGCTGCTGGTACAACCAAGGAGTAAAGTGTGGCAGGACCAGCAGTTTGATAGTCAGACTGGGTAATTACAGCACAAGTGTCTGAATTTTAGGAGTTAATTTTTGCTGAGGACCTAAGAGCATGCTGTGAATGACTAAAAGTGTAATTTTTTAATAGATTTTCAGCATTTCATCTGTGATCTATGATTTCAGTGTCTCATTAGTTTGATTGTCACAATATTAGCAGTTTTCTAAATGGATACTTCCGCAAGCTTATGAATATGCTCATTAATTTATTTTTATATCATATTTTATATCATAGTTGACTCATTTATGCAAGTCACATTTTCCTTTGAGTGATACTCTTTTATGCTGGTGATGATGACACATCCAGAAGTTGGAATGTGAAACATTTTTTTCACTTCTAACATTAGGTGAATTTTTGGGAAGCCTTCTAATGATATTTTTATGACTTTTTTTTTTTTTTCAGAAAGAATTTCTTTGATCACTAAAGATGAAGCAGAAGGAAGTTTGGTGACGGGTGAAGAGGCTGAGAAGGTATCATTTTTTTTCATGAGCATCTGTTTGTATAGAGCCCTTGCTGTGGAATTGAATAAGATCCATATGAAGAATTAAGAATGTTCATTTGCCACACAATTGAAACTTCTGCATTTCAGAGCAAAAATACCTTAGCATGTACTACTACAATGTTTTACTCTAACTGGTCTTTTAAAAGTAGCATGTATTGAAATTATCTGAAAATATCCTCTACAAAGAATAGGAACTTCAGCAACTCAGTGTAGTGGAACAGCAGAGAGCTATTTACATATGTAAGATCACTATTTGAACTTCACAGAAAGAAATATGTTTGCACTGGTAGCACCAGTCCAAAAATCCGATACTTTTTTTTAATGGTTTTATGAACTCCAGCAATTCAAGTTGTTGAGGCTAATTTTCACCATACATGCAGTGATAGCAATATTTTCACTTCATGCAGCTCTTGTGGATTGGTGGACATAATATGTGATGCTGGGGGTATTATTGGTGACCATATTAGATCCTTTTGGAAATGGGAGTTTTGGACTGTTTACAGGTATACTTTCTACAGACATGTAGCATTTTAGTAACTACAGTAATGAATGAAGGATGTCCCAGTTACAAAGGACTGAATTGTAACAGGCAGAATGGTGCCTTCTCTTTGGAAGGAAGCAGAATTCAGAGCTGCTGTCAAAACTTAGGTTTGTGTGGAGAGGATAAGATGGATGTTTTTGTATCAGGCTGCTAGTTTAGGAAAAAGGTCCTTGTATCACAGACCCCCCAAAGGTAAAACTGTGTCTAAAATCACCATTTTGCAGAGAAGTAGCTTTTATAAAAATGGCACATTGATTTTTGCTACTTCCAGGCCTTCCATAAGCAATAGCCAGAAGTGGGTAAAAGTAGGTTCTCTATGATTTAGTTAATGAGTAGAAAGAATCTGTATTTTAGAAACTGCTTTTTTCATCTGTAACAATTTACCTCTAGGTGAAGAAGTCACAGAAGTGTTATGAAAATGAAAAGCTAACAAACCAGGAGTCCAGAAAGCTGAGCACATGTGCAGGATACAAATGACAGAGTATGCTGATTTTTCTAGACATGAAGGACCTTCTGGCTGTTTATCATTACACATAAATGTATAGAGCAACTTTTCCCCCAGTGGTGGTTTTAAAGAGCATCAGTCTTTTTTATCTACTTCAAGTGCTATGAATTGGAAACTTCCTGAGACAATATTGTTCTTGAGAACTGTACTTTCTAGTCTGAAATTACCACTGATGCTCAAAAAATGTTCTAATGCTGTGTGAAATAGCTACTGTTCCTTAAGGAAATTTCTAGTAACCACGAAGACCTTGCAGCTTACCATTGTCTTCACTGTGAGCTTGTGGTGGTTAAATAATACTATGCCTGCATAGGAATGCAGCACAAATGATAGAGTATGGACTGTATTCACAGCTGCCAGGCTAAGCTGGAGAAAGCATTTGCAGGCTGGCTGCAAATTTACACTTCTGTTTGCCATCATCCTGCAATCATCATATATACTGCAATATAGGAAACTATTTTGTGACTGAAGGTCATTTTATGATTGATCTTTTGGTCATACGGTAGCTGTATCTTCCCATTAAATTGGAGGAATACAAGATACTGCATGAAATCAGTTTTGCAGCAGAGTTCTCTAATATGACAGTTACTTTAACTTCCAGACTAATTGGATTGCATCTCTTTGCTATTCACTAGATAACCATCTCCCCACACACTGTCCAAATCCAAACCCAGAACCCTAATTCCCATTGTCTGTTAAGTCATATGACATTTTCATTAAGAAACTGCAAGACTGTGTATTCTTGGAGTAAGATCTGCAGGGATAGAAAATTTTATCTTGATATTGTGGGGCTGGTATAAAATCTAGTCCTTTTTGGTCCAATTAAACCCTGCCACAGTTTTCCTGTTTAATACAAAGCCAGCATTTTCCTAGATCTACAGCAGATTGCAGAAGTGCTTAATTTGTTTTCTGAAAGCAATGCTCTTCACTTAAGGGTTATATTGGATTTTTTCAAAATTCCCTACAGAGAAATATACAAGTTTCCTTCACCTCTGTAGAGGTTATGTGCAAGCCTGTAGGTCATGGGGTTGTCTGTCAGTGTTGTCCTTTGTGACACAAAAGCCTTTTCTTTTACATGCAGTTTACTAGCTGCTAGTAGTTTCAAGACTGTTTTGTCTGTAAGATTACAGATTATATAGGGTCGCTGTTTGCAGGAAAAAGGAAGACGTACCAGGCTGCTTATTAGACAGGTCAAACTTTCCTTTTTCTTTTTGCTTGAGGTAGGTTATGCATGCATATTTTCCTATCACTGAGAATTTTTTTCCCCCCCTGTAATAGTGGAGATGCTCTTTTTAGAGCATGAGGAAGGTAGGTTAAAAGAGCAGGAATGTCAAATGCTTTTTCTGGTTGCTTTGGGGAAGATAATGGATTTCAGCACAGCTATTATATGTAATTTGCTTTTGCATAAATGTAAAACAGGTTTTCAGGGAAAAAACCCAACTTTAGATGTTCAGCATTTGATGGAAACTTCAGGTTTCAATTTGCTGCAAATCTTCATTTTACATTTCTCTAGCTTTTAGTTTCCTTTGCATAATTTACCATGAGAAAGCTGATTGTAAAAATTTTGATAAATGTGCTACTTCCAGAAATACCAATTGACTCTTAATTAAATGTGAAAAAAGGAAATTTGATCTGGCACAAAAAGCCTTTCAGAGCTGACAAATGTCATTAGCTTTTAGTTTCATAGTATGTGCTTTATATTACTACTAGATTAAGAACTCTTCCAACAAAAAAAGATAAACAGACGTACAGCATCTTGAAAATCCAATTCCTTCTGTCACATTCCCTGCCTTTTCTTCTTTTTCAGCTTCAGAATCTCTACAATAAGTTAAACTCAGCATGTTAGAACATGAATGTTGTCTGTGGAGTGAGATTTCTATATTTCTCTTGGTTGTTGCTGCTTAGGATGTAGGAAAGGTCTGACCTTTGGTCACTGAGACAATGAGGCAGAGGTTGCCTGTATCCTCTGTCTTTGGGTGTTACCCAAACATGATGTATTTGCTTTTCATCCTGGAGGATGCAACAAGAAAGTCAGAGTTTTACCCCATGCCTAAAGCTGTCACTGGGATTCTAGAGAAGGATCAGAATATTTTATTTATTTAAAATAATGCTTAAGCTTTTTACACTACAAATGTATGGTCTCAGAGATTGGTGATATTAATAAGAATCCCATGACCTCTTACACAACCTCTCTGGCTGATACAGTCAAAGTCCCCAGCTGAATAGAAACTCCCTTTTAGGAGCACAAAAGAGTTATCTAAGCAGGTATTTATTTGATGTGGCTATTTTCTACTTAGCTGTTCTCTTTCATCATCTGGAGTTATAGTGAAGTTGTTTCTAAATTAAGGATGACAGGACTTCAAGTCTGGGCTTTTCCTTGTTAGCTTCATACCGATGTTTTCTTGGGGGGCAGGGTTGTTTCTAGCTCTGAATACTTGTTCTAGTGTGTTTTAATAATAATAATAAAAAAGACTTAATATTAAGGATATTGGTGAAAAGGTAGTAACGAGGATTTGTAGACAACTGGATTTTTTTAAAGTAAGAGTTAAGTATTGCCATTTTTTCCCTACCATTTTAATGTTTTGGGTTTTTTTTAGGCTAAGAGAAAAATCTGTGAAGTAATTTGGAGGTGGTTGTACTCCAGATATTGTCTGTATGTTTGATTTCAGTTTTTGTAGTATCTGAGCAACTTACCTTTCTCTTCTGTTTATGAATGTCGTGCTTTAAGTGAAGTGCATATGGCGAGTTGTATCAGCAGCTACGGCAATGTAATTTTGCATAATGAATTTTCCATTTTTAAGACTGGCATTCTGACCATCTTTCATCTTAAGAGAGTTTTTTAAAATTAATATCTTTGTTCATTTGGTGAATGCTAATTGAATTAAATGGGGAAGCTTAAAAATTCAACACAGAACTAGAATGCTATGTGTAGGAAATATCTCAAAGAAGCCATTGGTCACCCTTGTATATGTACTCATATCATTGGGGGTATTTTGTTATCACTGAGCATTTTGTAGCTACACACAATATTTTTTAAGATCATAAACCTGGTCAAACTGAACTGGATAAAATTTTCATCTAATCCAGAATCCCATCTGACAGTGGACAAAAAGGGATGGGTAGAGAAAAATGTATAGTCCCAGGCTGCAGCCAGTGATGTCTCAAAAACTTTTTGTGCCTCAGGTTGTTTCTGTGGACATAGTAGACTTAAAATGATTTCTCTTCTATGCATCTTTCTTATCCCCCCTTAGTCTAGGGAATAATATTTGCAGCATCCTTATTACAGGGTGCAGCCTCACAATGTGTTGTCTCAAGAACCATATCCTTATGTCTGGTTTTTGACACAAAATCCTTTAAAAGCAAATCTTACAAAGTTTTTTGTAGTTTAATATGGTTTTGGAGGGTGGAAACCAGAAAATACTTCCTTCCTGATTTTTAATATCAGGTGACTTTGTTTTGATATACAGAGGAGACATTCTGTTAATTTAACATTAAAGGCTCTCAGTTTTGTCAGTATCACATAAATACTTTTTTTTTTTTAGTTCTTGGCTCCAAAAGAACAGAAAAATGAAACTCTGCCTCCTACAGATGAAGGTGGTGATGTTGATGATCTGGTGAGTACCATAAAGATATGGTGTGGCTTTAGAATTAAGGTCTAAGTGCAAGGTGCAATGAGAAAGCCAAATGCTTCTTAAAGCAGTAGATATTAGAGTGCATGGCTTAGAAAACACCGAAGGAATTGAATCAGAAGAGCCACATGAAATTACTTACTTGCTGTTGTTAAACTTATCCAGGTGTATAATTTCATGATGGCAAATACTATGTGATATAGTAACATAGGTGTTTACAGGGGCAAAATGTGGCTTCTAATATGCTTCAAAATAGCCAGTGAGCCACTCATTTAACAGTGGATTGTTATAATTTACTATAACAGCATTTTAAAAGGTTTGTAGATCTTGAACAGCTAGTTATGTGGGTTGAAATCTCAAAAACATTTTTAAAAAGATGTTTTGATTTTTTGAATTAAACTTCTCTATGTAGGCTTGCTGAAATTCAAGGATACCAGGTTTTTTAATAAATATTTTAGCCATCTTTTACAGGCTGACTCATTACAAATCTGTCTCCAAGGCTCAAGCTGATGGTGTAGATGGTTTTAAAGAAGCTTTGATAACAGACAGATTGCTACATTTGGACTGTAATTTTAAAAATCTATAAATTGCACGGATGATTATGTGAAGATGAGATTTTTAGGATTGTTTTTGGACTTTATAGAAGATTAGTACCGAATTTTGTGCAATCTATTTATGTTACATGATAAGGATTTCCAAATTTGCTTGGTTTTCTCAGCACTGAACACATGTAAGAAATAACTTCAATGCTGCTTCTTTCAAATCTGTTTCTTCTCTTTGTAGCTGGACATGATGTGACCAGTGATATATGGTGACTATAGAAGCAAAGTTTGGAAGAGATGTCTCTGTGAAATGGGACACAAAAAAAGATGCTAATGAGAAGACAGTGCATCCATCTTTATTTTCTTAAATGAGAACAGAAATCCCAGAAACGTTTCCAGCTGGTATAAATGTCATCTGACTTTCAAAACTAGAACAGAAGATTGAAATTGTCTGAAATATTTGGGAAGTAATGATACCTTTAAGGCATCTTTTTTTTCCCCTTGTCTTTAGAACTGAATTTAGCTTGTCCTTTGTATTAGCTGAACACTTCTAAATTTAATGAGAATTGCTCTGATGCCTGAAACTCTTGTTGCATTGCCTGGGAAGGAAGACACAAATGTCACAGCAAAGTTACCAGGTAATACTGAATATTTAGTGGAGGTAACCCTATAGGTTTATTGTTACAGAAGGGGAAAAGTCTTATTTTCATGTTTTTAAAAAAATGAACCAACCAACTCAAATAAACAAGAAACAAGAGAGAGCAAAATAAAACCCAACAAAGCACCATGAAAACCACCACAGAAGCTTGTGGGAGAAAATTCTAGGCCAGGGACTCACACGTTAATAGTTTGAAATACACAACAGAATCTAAAGCACACAGCAGGGCGTGCTGATTTTGCACCAGGTGTGCTGATTTTGCCACACTGACCCCAGATCAGTAATTATGGTCATCTCTGTACTACAGGTTCTCTCTTGTCAGCTCAGCAGCAGCCCAAGGTCCCTGTCCCTTTCTGTTACACATTTTCATGTTTCATATGCTGGGATTTTTGATTTTTTTAGACATCTAACTAGTAGGGTTACTGTAGATGCTCCTGGTACTAAAAGGAGAATGACGCAGTTCTGTGTCCATTCCATACACTGCTGAGAACTGCTAACCCAGAGCAGAAGAATCCCTCAAAGCTGTACACTGACACCTGTGATAGATACGTGATAATAGTTAATACTGGTAACCAGGATGGAGCAATGTCTTCACAGAGCAATCCAAACTAGTCAAATACTGCTTAGAAAGAGAGTCTGATTACAGAGCTGAAGAGACAGTAATGACACCTTCACATATGCTTGTTGGTTCTAACCAGATTCATTCCTTTAAAAGCTGTTGTTTCATTATTATAAATATATAAATATACTGTGCAAAATGGTATTAAGATCACAAAAAAAGGAAAAATCATGATCTGTAGTTGCAAAATGTTGTGGAATATTTGCTCTTTATACTGGCCAACAGCTCCTGTGTGGGAAATAGCAATTGCTTTTTGCCCCTACTTCCTTACGCAGCAACCTACTCTCTCCTGTCTTACGTCCTATCCTGACTGAGTTGAAAGCATTTTTCAAATGCAGATGGCAGGGAGCAAGTGATTTTTGCAGACCTTTATAGCTTTTGTATCACCAGAAGATATTTTTCTCAACTGTAAATAAGGATTATTTGATCAGTGTTTTAAAGGCCAATATATGGAGTATACTGGCTGGGGGTTTCTTTTACACTTTTTTTTTTTTTGTTTAATAAAAATATTTTAAAGGTCAGGTTTTGTCTTCAGAGCCTTGTTTGCTGAAATCGGGTGACTACTTATGCAGTGCCTAAAGGAAACTATCAAAAGCCCCTCTTCTGGGCCTACAGTGCAAACATTGAATATCAAAATCCCTTCATAGAACCAGAGTATACTTATTCTATTCTTTATGAACTCTAAACTTTGCAACACCCCAGTATAGTAGTTTTTACTATATTGTAGAGATGATGAGAACATCTTGGGTCAAGACCACACAGAATATAGAACCTGGTGAGCAGAATATGGAGTTACTTTGTTTCTTTTGATTTAGTTGACCACCTTTCTAGAATGTATTGCTTCTATCTAGGAATATACATTTAGTTCATGGAGAATTGCTGCATAAATCTTCTTGCTACCTGTACAGCACAATATGTACAGGTAGGCTTAGTGTGGTGATTAAGTTGCTAGTACTGAGAAGAGGAATGAAAATATATGACTCAAAATAAATTCACTCAAAAGTGAATTCTTGGAAGGCAAAAAAATAATGTTTTATTCTGTCCAGGCTTCTGAGTTCAGTCTTCAGAAGCTTCTGATTTAGTGAGGGTCTGTCACATCAGCAGCCTGATGTTACATTTGTTCTTTGGCAAAGGACCAGCTTTCAGGTTCACATTCAATGACTGAAAGAGATCTTGCATTTAGCTTAAGTTCACATTTTCAATTACAAAGTCTGACTTACTGTTTAGTAGGCTGACTCACTGTTTACACTGAGAATTCTCATTTTCAATTGCCACACTGACCAGTCCTCAGAAGCACTAGAGCAGTTAGGTGTTCACTTCAAAAGCAGCTATAAAGGAAACATACAGTGCATTTGTTTTCCTGCAAGTACATCCTTGTGATGTACTTTATAGGCAGAGAAATTATCAGAGCATCTACGAAAAAAGAAGACTGTGAAGACTTCTCTTCCTTAATTAGAACAGGGGTGTGGACTAAAAAAAAAGTATTTTGCAGTGTGGACTTTGGGAGGTGGAGAATATCCAAAAGTATTGTACCAGAAAGTATAAGTAATATGTGAGGGATCTAGGACCATAGTGTGGAACTGAGAGTACTCCACAGAAAAGGGCAAAATACCCATAGAGGAAGACTTATGGTTACAATATACTGTGAATCTGTTAAGTTTCTAGGCTATATCAGTTCTGTACAAAGCATTTTTCTCTGTCACTGTAGTGGGCTCTGCTACCTGTTATGCAGTTCTCAAGTTTGGTCTCATTACTTTTGTACTCAGAAATCAAATTTGTCCTCTCTGACAGTTGTCACATGCCACAGTAATAAAAAATAACTTCTAGAATGTTACATAGTTGAAGACTTGTGATTTGTGTGATAGTAATCAGGTTGAAATGAATGTCAGGTCAACAGTGTAATAACAGTATGTTTGAAGAATTCTGAAAGCAAGACTTCATCTCTGTCCTTAGAATGTGGCACAGAAGTGTTACACATACCATCAAAACACTTCTAATGTGAAGAGACCTGTTCTGCTGCACTGTGGTTTCTTAGTTGCCAGGGTAGATTTACATCTGGCTAACTTTTCTCATGTTTGGGTTTTGACAGAATTGTCTGTTTGATGTTGGAGCAGGATCTTTGGAATTAGAAAACAAGGGAAGGAAAATCAGTTATCTCAATTGTGAATTCTAAAGACACAGGCCATTTTTATAGTCTGCATTTGCACATGAGGCAAGGGAGGAATTCCCTTGTGATCTCAGTAGGGTTGGGGATAATCTGGAAAGGAGAGTTCTGACTTGCATGTTGCTAAGCTGGCAAATACAGTGGTAGATGTTGCTGCTGTGCTTGTAAGGGTGGGTTTGGATTTGTTCAGCCTCACCGCTGTCAGTGTGAAATAAGCACTTTAAATTTAGCTGTTGCTTTGTGACAATGGAAAACTCATTTCCACTAAATTTTCAGCTTTGCTTCCTTTCCCCTTCCATCTTCATTCTTCTCTTCTTCTCTTGGTACCATTACAGTATTGGAGCTGGGAGCACTTGTGAATTGATGTCAGATGTAGGAAATCTCCAAGTTTTCTTGTGTCTCTTTTGAGATGTGGGCTACAAAGATTTTTTAAAAACTCAAAATGTTCACAGTACTAGCAGGGGACTGAAGGCCCACCCAGGCCTTTGTTTCTTAATTCTCTGAAGAATTACCACATAAATAAATCAGTTCTTTCAACAAACCCTCACCACTTAAAGGTGCTGGTAAAGTAAGGCAGCGCTGACTTCTGCAGGAGGTGACTTGCCTTTCTGGGGGGTGGAGTTTGTGTATAGCATTTCTCTGCAGTGTTTTGAGGACAGCTCTGTAAGTTCTGTACCAGTTTGGACTATTCTTTTGCCTACTGATCCTGAAAATTTTAGAGGAATAGATTATCACATATTAAAGGAAATAAAAGAAACCAGAATAGGTGAAGTTTTCTTTTGTAATACTATCATATTCTGATATGAAGGTCTGAAATAGATATATTAAAAAAGGCAAGGCTGTGATTTTTAGTCTCTTACCTTTCCCAAAGGATCAAAACCCACATTGAACTCCACATAAAAAATTGGCATAGAGATACTCTTTACAAGAAAATTAATTGGAAAACATTTGAACAAAGCTTAGCTTAAAGTTTGATCATATTTTTCCATGCAGCAAGTTTTGATAAGTGGAAAGATTATGTCTGCCTCTTCTCTTCAACTGTTCTGGAATAGTGCTTGCTTTTATGAAAATAAAAGAACTAAACAGGAACTAGAAAACCTCTCAATTTTGTTTTTACAGACCAGGCATAACTTTAGTGCATGTGTGAGATGAATGCCTTAAAATAGATTCTTTGCCCATCTGACTCTGCACATACTGTACTTTAGTGATTTAAGCTGGATAGAAATTAATCTGCTTCTTCCCAATTAACTTTGTGAAGACAACATGACTAAGATATAGTAAAATTCTGTTCCTTCTGATGCTTTCCCAGTACAAGTCTCAACAGTTGACCATCAAAAGCATCTCTTTTGCCAGTAACCTGAAATATTTACAGTACTTTTTGCTGTTACCAAATAATGAGTTATTCTGCAGCACTAAAACATACTCAGATTCGGTCACATATATATTTATTAGTATGTTAATTCTTAGGACTTCTCCCTATGCACCAACTCAGCTATATGTGCTGCTGTGAAAGTTTGGGGACTCTGTAATGGAATTAGTAGGTTGACCATGGAAATACATTCTCTGTTGCTTTAAATATATCAAACCAAAGGATTGTTTTTCTTCATGGTCTTACTGAGTTCTAACTCTGTCTTATCCTTTCTTCCTATTTTACTGTACAATAATAGGCAGTAATAACTGTCATTTTCTTTTCCTCCAGAAGGGAGTGAATCTTTCAGCTTTAAAGATATTATCAGAAAACAGAAATACCTTAAATGTAGGGTAAAACTAGAAACGATTTCTGTCTGCTGTCTGAGACAATGCATAAGGGGAGCACAAGCCCCTGAGGAGACCAACTGTGGTGCAGATATTTTTGCCTGAAGCATGTGGATCAGACATAATGCCTGGAAAAGAAAGGTAAAATAGCTGTTAGTACCTGATTGCTGGAGTTTTGTATGACTGGGATGTATAAGAATGCCTTCTCCAGCCTGCTAATGCAAGTAGTCAAATGACAAATGTTCTCTCCCCATGGAGTAAGTACATCTGCAGTGTGAAGAAATAGCCCCTCTGCTGACTTTTCACAAGAGTTACAGGAGCTGTATCAGAATGCTTAGGGACCCTTTACTTACTGAAAAAGGAGGGAGTGGGGTGGAGAGAATTTTTTTCCTTTGGTCCTTAGCAGGCCAGCATTGAAGGCCCTGATCTGAATGGGTGAGAGCCCTCCAAGAGCATTTTCCTGTGATGCCTTAATACCGTGTGAGTCCTGTGTGAATTTGATCTCCTAGTCCACAGTTGTCCTGAATGTTGAGAAGGTGATTTCTCTGCCTGCAAAGGATAAGAAATGGCTCAGCAAGGTGAGTTGAGAATTCATATAAACTTTGTCTAGAGATTGTGATGTAGATTCCTCCCTATTACTCCTTGGAACTTTCAGTAGTCGCAAGCTGTAGGATCTCTACGTTTCAGTTGAACACCAAGGTTTAGAAGCTAAATGCTCTCCAAGAAGAGCATAGCATAAATGATAGTAATCCACCTTTCATAGAACTGTGCTGGGTACTGTACAAATTTGCATATCATCTGAATTCCCACCTTTAACTAACATCTGATCTTCTAGCAGTTCAACTTGCTGATTCACTTCTTTTTCTGGGGGGAATTCATCAAAGATAACATCAGCCAGCAAGTATATATCACTTTTCTCCCTGAGTAAGAGGAATAAAGATTTTGGGAAGGAAAGTTTGTTTGGTGATAGGGAAATTGGATATGTTTAATGAACTTGCTTTTGTTTTATATGCTATCACTTAAAGTACCAGGACTATCAGTGTGTTTTGTAGCTATTAAGCCATTGATGAGTAGCAACAGTAGCATTATCTTTGGATAATGCATTTAATGCAGAAATGTCTTGAAGAGGCAAAGATAAGGAAGGTTTCTGTCTTTAGTACTTTTGCTGGCTAACAAACGAAAACTTGGGAATGCCTGCAATTACACAGATATATATGTGGGACAATACACATAGTTTAGCTGGGTGGGCTTACTTCATGTTGCTTGTAAGGAGTCTGTGGCTTTGTCACAAGGGGTGGCTCAAAATTCTGTGAGATCTGGTGGTCAGATTTCTTGAAAGATAAAGGAGGTGCTCCAGAAGAGGTGAATTCTATAACAGGTGACTCCTCAGTGGTTACATCTAAATCAACCTGTAAATTAAACAGTAAGAGAAACAGGCTGTGTCCTCCATAGTTGCATTTAAATTTTCTCATTGTTTTATTTTTTAAGAGTGTAAGAGATCTAATATGGTTCACTAGTTGAGGACAGCAACAGTAGGGTTTTATTTCTAGTTCTGTTGAAGGCTCATTAGGGGCCATTTATTCAAAGTTTCACAGAATATCCTGAGTTCGAAGGGACACACAAGGGTGATCAAGTCCAACTTCTAAGTGAGTGACCCATACAGGCATTGAACCCACAACCTTGGTGTTGTTAGCACCATGCTCTGACCAAAAATATCTCTGCCTGTTGATTATTCTCACTCTGTAATTGGGGAAAGTTGTTTACTTATGATATCTCCCAGGGAAGGCAGATGAAAGACTTTTGATGGACTTTAGTTGGAAAAGACTTCATATACAGAAGGTATGTCAGTGCAAAAGTTTTATGACAGAAGATCTGGGGAGGATGGGAATAAATGAAGAAAAAAAAGCAGTGAGTTATTGTGATGTTCCCTGGGCATGAGGAGAACATGATCATTAGTCTTGAGGAGAAATGGAACAGTGGGAGTTCCATTAAGTGTCCCACAGGCACCAGGAATATATGAGAGGCAGACTTTAAAAAGACAAAGACTGAGGTACTGTGGAGAAATGGAGAAGCAGTTATTCCACTTAATAACTTTGGAAGGCAAGGAGAGGAAACAGATGAGGTTTCAAAGCTTATTATTGGAAAGAACAGCCTTTCTATATCTCTTTTCACATTCCAGAAAGAATGATCTGTTTTACATAATGAGCATTTACTTACAGTTCTCCCAGACACACACACACTGACCTATTTAAAAATGCAAATGGTCATGATGTTCCCTTTGGGCAGCAGTGACAAAATCAATGTAGAAGGAATAGGGTTAGTCCAGCAAGACAAGATAATTGTGTTGTAGCTTGTCTGCAAGAGATTTCTCCACAGTCCTCAGGAAATAGGAGTAATATAGGCCTTAGCATTCGAATGACTCACAGCTTAAGGTTTACACACGAGATTGTGTATAATCCCTGTTAACCTAAAGCTGATGATGATTCAGAAGTAAGAACTGTGATGAGACAAAGGACATGTGAAAAAGAACAAACGTGAGGAGAGAAAAACATGCAAGAATGACCTTTTTCTACCCACAGGTCACTGTAACTTAAAATACAATAATGACACATACCCAAGGGGACCACTGGAAATCAAGGGAACCACGTTATTGATATATGTTACAGATTGAATGTGTGCTGGAAGGCAGGACCAGCTTCACCTTCTAGACAGCTGTGTACTCCTCAAGGGAAGATTATTCTGTTCTTCACAGAAGAGCTGTGGGCAGTTTCATAGATTTATTGTGGAGTAGAGAGAATTGAAACGCCAAGTCACAACTACATAGAGAAAACATATGTTAGGTATCCAAAGCAAAAAAATACCCTTCTCTGAAGTTTAACTGCTGAAGTTTTTGTGCAGGAATTTCCTTGTGATGGAATCTGGTCTTTAGGTTGCCAGTGTCTGGTCTTGAAAAATTACTATAGGCCATGCTGCAAATGATTTGTGGCTGGTACAAAAACTCATCCTATGGGATGAGCGAAACTGAGGAAAATTCTATCATTCACACAGTAGTTGTAGAATGGCAGGAATTATTTGGATGTAATTATATATTTTGTTAGGCTTTAAGTCATAGAGTAGTTTGGGTTGGAAGGTGTGGTGGGCACACAGTTTGTGGTAATTGGGAGTGGGGCTGTGGCCCAGCCTCACCCCAGTGGGCTCAGCTGTGAGCAGCAGGTGAGCAGCACTGACAGCAATGAGCCATGGAGTGCCCAGGAGCACTGAGCAACCACCAAAGGGAACAGAGGGCACACAGGGGCACTGCATGAACATGAGGGTGTAAAAAGGGCTAAAGAATAAGAAGGGCAGATCCTTGCATCCTTCTGATGAGGTAAGGTGTTACTCTGTATTGATTGGAGCCTTCTGATACTGTATGGTGACACTCTATGTATGTGGCCGTCTCAACTGTGGCATAGGAAGGGGCTTTGAAAAGTCATCTAGTCCTCTGCAGTGTTTCTTTAAAGAAACAATCAACCCCACTTTCCAATTCTAGAAGATCAAATGCACCTGTAGGTAATGTACCCTTGGCTATAGACTTTGTTGTACAAAGATTTCCTAAAGTCTCTGAGGATTTCCTTTGTACTCTCAGAGACAGCACGAAACCAGCCAGTGGGGCAGAAGTTGATGTCTTCATTGCACTACAATTTTCCTCTGGGTAGCTTTGACTGCATGGATGATATTGAGGCAAAATCCCCAGGTACACCTAGGACTGGCAGCCTGGTTGATCAGGTTCTAAATGCTCTGGTGACAGTGCAGAGAAGCTTGCACAACTGCTGTGAATGCTCTTCCTCTAGATTTCTTTGGTACCCAACAAGCCAGGCATGTTTGTGGAGCATGAATTTTTCTCTGCGCGAATTAAAGGCATTGAGGCAACTAAGAGAGGAAAAGAAGGGAAAGACAACTCAAAAAGCATATAAGAGTTTGAAGTCAAAGATCAGCTGAAGAAGCAGTTCTGCTAAGTTGCAG